GGGCTCCAGCTTTTTAGCCCCCCCCCTGGGTATGCCACTGCTGATTGGGGTGGTACTTATAAGGTCTATTTTTGATTTTTTTCAGGAATTTTCATAATAAATAGGAAAACAACTTAGGAAAAACAAGAAAATTCACAAAATGTATTATTTTCAAATTGTAAATATTAAGGCCTTTCAAAATATGTATTATTGTACTCCGCTCAGACTCGTTTTCGTTAGCAAGAATTAATCGTTGTATACAAACATACATCAAATTTCCCACTATATCCAATCTTCCCAACTTTTCACTTAGATATATTATAGCTACTATTTATCGGACTCAACAACTATGGTGCATACGTATAATAAAAACAGTAAAAACGAAACAATACAAAATATTTAGGCCAGCATCAAATATCAGTATAGACATATATTGCAGATAATATAATAATGATTACAGGATTTAAGTGTATACTTTTATCAAATTATAACATATTACAGCCCGCAGGAACGAAATCAGATGATAATTATTATAAACTCCGTCTTGGATAACCAATTCGGAATTTATTATCGCCTGTCTTACATTATATAGGCGTATATTTAAAAGGAGCTAGGAGCTATAAGGAGGGGGAATACAATTTGATGTATAGGTATAGCAGGTACCCAATATAACATTAACAATCAATTCAATAAAATAAACGGGTTTTTTTTTGTTTTTTAATTAGAAAATATTATAAAATATGTACCTATATATACCAAAAATAAATTAAAAATGAAAGTCTGAATTGTTTCAATATAAAAATAAACTATATACGTACCTACACATAATCAACGTTTTATTTGAACAATTTTAAGATAGCCATTTTATAGAATTTTTTCTTCTTTCTAACGTATCTATGATTATGCAGCAAGCTGTAATCGCATTCGCTAATTTATCATTTATATTCAACATTTTTACAGTTGAAGATTTTTTGACATTTATTTACATAAGTGGAATACCTACATAATTCATCGTATCAATTTTATAATACAATATGGGTAGCTAAAGTTTTTTTTTTTATAATTCATTAAAATTTTAAACTTCTGAAATTACCTATTAAAATATAAAGATTTGTTTTCTCGATCAATGAATGCACTCGTATGAACTTGCGGTTTATAGGAAAGTTCGAAAATTGTATTAATATTTTACGAATTAGGTCACTTATTTTCTTACATTAAATATTTTTCAATTTATATTTTTTTATGTTGGTAATAATACATAATTAAAGTGAAATGAGAAAATGTATGGTATATAATATATACGATATGATATACCAGATGATCCATTTGAGTGGATACACTCATTATCCCGGGAAGTATTAAGTTTTTTGGAATTTGTTTTCTATAACAATTAAGGAACAAGCAGCTCTACAATTTTATATTTATGTTATTTTTTGTCACCCTTATTTTTAGGGGTAAAACCAGTATCTACTTTTGATTTTCAAATGGCAACCTATAATAAAAAGTCCATAAATAGATGGAGTATAAGTTAAAATAAATTTTAGTGTTGACATTTTTTATTTCTGTCAAGCCGTTGACGAGGTATTCCACTTTTAAGTTTTGGTTGGAAGAGAGTAATTGAGTATCATTTGTGTGACGGTATGGCGCGCGGCATGTAATAATGCACCACTACTCTCCTCTAACCCAAACTTAAAAGTGGAATAACTCGTCAACGGCTTGACAGAAATAAAAAATGTCAACACTAAAATTTATTTTAACTTATACTCCATCTATTTATGGACTTTTTAATATATGTTGCCATTTGAAAATCAAAAGTAGCTAGAGGTTTTATTCCCTAAAATAAGGGTGACAAAAAATAACATAAATATAAAATTATAAAGCAGCTTGTTTCTTAAATGTTCTAAAAAACAAATTCCGGAAAAAGTTAATGCTTTCCGAAATAATGAGTATAACCATTTAAATGGATTACCTAGTGTACATTTGATGTAAAACAAAAAGAAATTATGAATTATATGAAAGAAATACCGAAATTTCAATATTTCGAATAAAATTTCTTTAATTAATATGTTATAGGTATATTCGTATATATAGATAATACACACCATATATTTATTATTCGATGATAAGTCGTAAAATACAATAAATTAAAGATTAAATGTCGTATAGTATAGTAAAGAAAATAAGGTGTTAATCCGGAATGTCGGCGTTTTTTTTTTCCTAGTTTATAATAATATAGATGAGATAAGGTACAAAATCCGTTTATCCTTAAATCTGCAGCGTAGTATTATTATTAAGTAGGTATACCTATATAGCATAATAATATGTAAAATGTAAATATAATGTCGTCCAGCCGGTTTTGTACTATAAATTAAAATAATTTTTCTGTTCGCAATGAATAAAATCGGAATGCTGTAAAGATGTTGACGTTTAATACTGTATCATGTTTTCGTGGTATTGGCCTGTTTTTTTTTTGTCCATTTTCGAATTCGGTAGGTATATGTACAATAAAAACAAATTTATTATATTATGGAATTATCATGTATTGGTATGTTTACTTAGTGTTTAATATGTATAGCAGGTGATCTATAATATATTGTATTCAAAATTAGTGTTCGCTGTTACCACATAATAATAATATTAATTTTTAAAACTACAGATATTTATAAAATATGCAATTATAAAATTATAATAATAATAAAAATAAAAATAAAAAAAAATTAAAATTTGAAATATAGGTATGTATTATTAAAATTATTTATTAATTTCCGAACTTAACTTATATACTAATAGACACGTTGAATTGCCTATTTTCATAATATCAAACAAGATACATTATACTATTTTAAATTGTTTGTTTATAAATATATTAGAAAATAGAAAGCTTAGAAAAATAATTTATATAATACCTCACAGTTTCGATTTATTAGACAATTAAAAGACGTAATGGTAAAAGTTCTGCAATAATTGTTGTCTACTACCTTGTCTTAACTGTACAAAAGTTTCATTTTCAGATGTTGGAAAAATATACTTGGACGTTGCAAGGCGATCGGTCGTTAAGTAAAAGTTATCCGCACCACGGGGGAGTGTTGTGAACACGCGTATAAAATAAAGGCCTCGGTTACACTTGTTTAGTAACTCAGCCGAATTACAGGACAAAGTCAAACTTATTTAAATTTAGCTGGTAACAAAACTTACTCTATGTTAAACAATAATACTACCGATTTGCAAATGCACTGTAACTACGTACTTATCATCACGAGTGTGCAAGTACTTATATTGCTGTACAGTCAATTTACACGCTATAATTTGATAAAAACAAAGCAAATTAAATTATAAGTGTATTTTTCGATGCGGTAAACTCTATAGTTTTCAATAAATTTTTTATCGATATGGGAAAACTTATATTTATTAAGAACCTACTATCTAAACAGAGTTGCATTCGTGCCGTTTATAATACCAATCTATTGTCAAATCTATAACATATTTTCACTTTCATAGATACAGACCACAGATTTATTTAATAAATTGTAACATAACCGTGACTTGTCTCATGGAGTTATCGATTAGTATACAATAGTATAGGTACCCATATAAACTATTTTACCCTATTAAAATTATCGTAGATTAGGTTATTATTTTATACTTTCAAACTAATCTACACCTATACCTATCTCCACGTATAATAGCTATTAGACTGATGAAATATGAGATGTAAGTAGTAGGTATGTCCGGTTAGTTTAGGCTTTCAGTGATATTTGATATTCCTACAAAGACAGTACCGCGGTCTACATCGATACACAGTGATACATATAGATTAGAACACGGCGATGGTCACTCGATCTAGTGAATATAAAAACTTAATTATCTCTACTTCTTTATTTAATAAATAATATATTTACTCGGTAATTCTTATACTTACTTGTTGGATTAAGTAATTGGTTTAGAATATATTGTTTAGATACCTATATTTTCGAGGTTCCGGGTTCGATTTTAAATATAAACAGTTTATAACTTTTACTATTACGGTATACTTGGGTGACTTGGTCGACTTGTATGGATACTAAACCCGTGTAAACCCGGCTTAATGGTAATGCGTGTTCACTGTGTTGTATAGTACCTATACCAGCGGCGGCAATAATAGACCGCCCCCGACTCGCTTTCCCCTCTACGCGTCGATGACCACTCTCTATTACGACCGGTAGGTAACCGCGGGACCCCTCAAAGCACGTTGCCGAAACCGCGCGCGTCATAATAATAATACTACGATAGCCGACGACGGACATTATAATAATAACCGACGACGGATACTACAACGCTGATAAAACAACGCGCGTAACTAACTGATAAAACGACGGAGACTGTAATAACCGCTCGCACGTGCGTACGTCGAATTTGTTTGCAAAAAAAAAAAACAAGTTTTACCGCTCGTAGGTATATAAATATAAACATAGCCCGTAGGTATAACTTCATAATATTATATTATGTACGGCAACACGTCGTGTACAAATATTTTACAACCGTCTTGAAAGAGTTTAAAGTATGTATACGATATTCATAACAATATTGTTACGGCTACGTACCTCTCGCGAACTTTTTTCACGATCGGCATCTAATACCTATTATAGGTGGTATACTTTCTATACGTATGGATGGTTCGGACGTTAAATCTATTTTTCATGTTCTCGATACGTTTATTTTTTACGATTCAGTGAGTGTAATAGGTACGTGTATATTGTACATATAATAGACTGCGGCGCCGGACGATTATTATCCGGAACTGTATTAATATTATATACTTGTTTTCTTTTAATGCCCACTCGCGTGCAATGTGTATGTATTTTGTATGTAGATTGCGTGTTCGTGCGAGCCGACGACGCGGATGCGGCGGCGGCGGTAATTATAAAATTCCGTTCTGCACTTTCGGAACCCCTGGCCCGCCGATTGATCACTAGTTACAAACTGTGCGTAGGCGGGAGGGGAACGAGGGTGATCGGTGGGAGGTGTACGGTAGCGGTAGTAGTAATACGCTTTCGGTCATTGGCGCGTCTATGGCGGCGTCCCGGCACCGACAGTTTGTTGTTTTCGTCCGAGACAGGTGAAGGGGAATATTATTGTTGTGTCCGCGGTGGTGATTGCGTATTTTTCGTTTGGTGTTGGTGATTTATAATATTAAAACAAAAGTTTTTTTTTCACCGTTTTGTCGTGCAAACGCGTCCCGCCGAATCGTTTAGTGTTTTTGTTTTTTTGTTTTCATTACTAGATGTTTTGTTTACTGTGTGTCGACCGAGTGTGATAAGGTTTTTCGTACCTACTTACTTAACGATTGTTTTTGGTTTCATTTTTTTTTTTCAAAAAACCCGCCGACGCGTTTTAAAAACAACTCGGTGCGATGGAATGTTGATTAATGGATATATGTCAATGAAGGATTTAACCGATTATGGAGACATTATTCGGTAGACATCTACCGTCGTATTCGATTAGTTGAACGCGGCGTAATGCTAGGACTCAATGTCGCGGCGTTGTTGCTTTTGGCCCGGTCGATTTTCGCATATTTGTTAGTGGTGTCTGATACGGATTCGCCGGGTCTGGTGCTGTTCGACGGCGGTACGCCGTTCTATGATCGGCCGGCCAGACGGTACTCGCTGAACCCCCAGAAAAGTGGTGACTTTGTCTCCAAATTATTACGCGTCGACCATTACACCGGATCTGTCATACTCGAAAAGCCCTTAGAATGCGACGGTTTCAAATATCCCGACGTGTTCACGTTCTACGTGGACTCGACGTCCAACGATACACTCGAGTACATGTCAGTGCCCCTAAGAATGGTCATCAAAGGATGTGAAAAAAACAGTAAGTTTTTCCATCCGTAGATTCTCAAATACTCAAATATTTGAATTTAATTAGTTCTTTATGGTATATAGGTAGGTTACCTATCTATATATTACCTATCTACCAAATGTACCTAATAGACAGTCTCGTAAAATAAGTAGTTAAAATATAAAGTATTGTCTAACAAGACATTTAATTTCATTGGCCACCTATTTCATAATAATATGCCTATTACAATATGATATTACCTATCTATAATTATATCCACAGTATCCTTACTAGTATTATAATTAAATAATGTAAGTACATTTTCTAAAAACATTTTTATCATAGGTATTGAAAAAATAGGGTTCAAAAAAAAAAAAAAATGTGTAAAGTTAAAATTTGTATACAAATGCCAAGTTATCTATTTCAATACTATGGAAAAAACCCTTAAAAAAAGTTAAAACACCATTTTATACAAAGTATATACCTAGTTACCAACCTATTATTTTATTTAAAGTACTTAATGAAATCAAGTTATTTTAAATTTATCACACTGGACTATGCTTTTCATATATATGCTGTGTTTACAAACTTTACAAGTTTTATGTTCAATTATTTTTGTTCATAGTGAACCTATTAACTAATAAGGACCAAACCCATTATATCATATATTTTCCAACTTGCAAGTTACATTATTTCAACCAAATTACCTACAATCATTTTTTTACATTTTTTTATGACTATAGATATTACTATTATAGATGGTTATGTTCGAATTTGGTATACCTACAAATTAAATAATTTCTTAAGTTGCTATATTCAATGAACTAGGTATATTTTAGGTATGTTATAGATCTGTTTCTAAATATAAAAATAGTTAAAATACTTTGAGTGATTCAAATGTTTGCACTGTAAAGACTATACACAAAATAAGTAGAAAAACTGCTAAGTAAATATTGTACAGTTTTATTTATCTAATTTAAATATACAATAGCTGCCTATGTCTTATATTGCATTCAAATATAGTTAGTTACCCAGTAAAAAGTAGTTTTAAAATGAATAAACCAAATGCAAAAATTTCAAAATCTAAAACAAATAACTTATATTGATTTTTAATAAAATATTTTTTAAATTTCTTTGAGAATCTAGGTCCATTAAATTAGCATCTCCAATTTGGAATTTCATTAAAAAAATTGCACCAACAATTGTTATTCTATTTGTATGTATTTCGAGACATATTGGCAATCGTAAATTTCGAATTTGTACATCACTCTGAACTCATTAAATTATTCAATTTGGTAGTTGAAATCTAAAAACCATGAATTGGTATTGAAACTAACCGATATATGAAAAATTTAGTTTTTAGTTTTTCATAATTATGTGAATTGGCCAGAGATAATACATCATGGTAGTGATGGCTAGAGTAGGTACTTTATAATCCAAAATCATATATTTTAGTAATATTGTATGATTATTTTATAAAAAGTAAAATAAAATAAAAAAATGTAGGTATTAATTATTATTGATTTTGATGAATCTACCTTGCAACCAACTTTAATTATATTACCACTGTAGTAAACATCAATTTTCACAGGTTCTGAGTGGTGTATAAATTCGGAATTACAAATGTGTAAAAATATAATAACAATTATCATAGGTACATTTTTTAAAATAAAATACTAAATTGGAGGTGCTAATGTAACTGTATTAAGTAACTGATGTAACTGATCATCTAACTTATTTTAAAATATCAAGTTTTTTCTATTGTCTAATAAATTTTAATAAAATGTATATTAAAATATTTACATAGATATCTTTAAATGATAAAATCAGCCTGTACGGGCTTAAAATTCCTGTATTAATCTAGTTTTTTCTAGCGTATAAAATTACAGCCTGATTTGAAACTATTGTTCAGTGCCTAACCCGGTCCAGCTTGAATTTTTAGCTGGTGTATTAAAATCAATAATAAACACACAATTTAAATACCCTCATGTATTTTTAAAAAAAAAGCTTGGCCTGGATTTAAAATTTAGAATATTTTCTTTCTTAGCGATTTTTAACATAGTAGGATATTTTCCAGGGGGTAAATCAATAACAGAAATCTGTATACAAATGTTTGGTAATCTTATCGAAAATCTTGGAAATTGGTGGGAAAATCATGGTATTCTGGAATCTATTATAGAAACAGAGCAGTAATACCCTTTGATATTTCACTACCCCCTATTTTTTTAAATTTAAAATAAAACAATTTATTTTCATATTTATTTGATAATTGTAAGTAGGTAATAAAAACATGTAATGTTATAACAATAAATTATAATAATATATATTTTATTTCATTTCCTAGAATACATAATAATATGATTAACAATTAGATATGAAATGATGTCTCCTAAAAGCAATGCTTGTAGAAGAGACACACAGTTCTATACTAAAAATATACAGTAAAAACTAAAAGACAAAAATAAATAAATGTATATATATATATATATAAGCTTATCTATAACTAAAACGTGTAAATAATAAAAGAATAATAAAACAAAAAATACATAGGACTCAATAATAACAAAATTTAAGATTACAGCAGAAATTTTTGTTTTTTTTTTTTTTTTTGTAGCTCTTAAAATTGTTTAAACAGTGAACATTAATACCAAATCTATAACATATTCCAATTCTAATATTAAACGGATTTCTTTTTCCAAATTCAGTGTTACATATGTGTAATCTAAACATATTATTACAACTTGCCAGGTATGATAATTATGATTAAAATTAACTTAATCATAGCTTAAATGGTATAAATTTGATATAAATAAAAGATTTTTTGAACTGCCTCTGTCCGTGTTGAGAATTTTAATTTGAATGCATTTTTTCGAATAAACAAAAAATGTATATGCACTGAATTAATGATTTGTCAACTATCTACAAATTTAATTTATTTATGTTTCTTCACATAAGTATACTTTACTAGGTTGCCAAATTGTTTTGAAATTGTAAATGGTATTAAAGTTTATTGTTTAAAATAGGTTTGAAATTGAGCACTTTGCACAGTGGGTTTTCTTAATTTGTTAAATATAAATAACCTATTTGGTAATTTATTTTCAGGGATCAGATTTTACACTACTAAAAATAATAAAAATATACCTTAAATTATAACCTGACAAATCTTAAAATATGCTATAACAGTGATTTTCAAACTCTTTTGACTATGGCACACTTTGCTTTTCACAACTTTTTCACGGCACACTTATCTTTTTTTTTTTCGTCATTGTTTAATATTTTGCACAAAATTAGAACTAATAACAAAATTGATAAGTCATACTCAATTGAATCATATTCAATAGATTTATAACTTCATACTTAACAAGCGAATTACTGTAACCAGTGGTCTGTCACAATTTAAGGAAAACTAATTTTAAAAGACTGCAGTACATCTAGTGAATGCTTGCAGCAGCTAATTTTAAAACTACTGAGCCGATATTATATTAAAATAACAACAAAAAAAATTATAAACTTCTATTTGTAAGTGTTATGAACCGTCAAATTCATCATTATTGATTATGTTAGTGTCTTGCTCACAACAATACTAACAGTGTCATCATTTTTTTAATTTTATTTTTTTTTATAAAATGAACAAAAGTTATCACTATGAAGTTATTTATTTAGATAAAATATTTTTTTTTACTCAGTAATATGGCAATTTTTAATTGTATCTAAGTTTTAAAGGTCAGTTTATCTTGTGGTATGTATTTGTAAAGAGCTTAGTTGCTCAACATGTCATACCACAAAAGAAAACTCAGAAAATTTAAATGATAAATAATAATTTTTAATGATTTTTTTTATAATGCGCATTATTTTAACAGGTTCTGGAGTATGGGTGCATAAAACAAATGCAAAGCTCACTGAGCTATCTGTATCCTATAATAATTAGCCAGTGCCATAAAATCCCATTATACTATATATTTTGTATTAATATATTAATAAAGTAATAATCTATCTATTCATTTGTGCCTATATGTTTTATTTTTTAGAAATTGATTCTCTCTTAAATTCTCGTATAGAACATGCTAAAAAATGGTCAAGTAAAACACTAGTTTCAGTTGTCTTATCAGTATTAAAGTAAGTAAATTTAAAAAAAAAAAACAAACAAATTTATCATAAAATGAATGTATTCTAATGATGTATTATAAATTATAATATTATTAGTTTAAAATCTGGCATTGGTATTTCTACGGATGATATAAATAAAAAATGTTGGCGACAAAGTGAATTTGTTGCACCACTCGGACCTTCCATAATTCCACAAAGTATAATCAATGATTGCCAAGTACGTTATGTGGATGTTAGTGATAATAGATTTAGAGTGGAATCAAAAAATGGCGATCTCGTTGTGGCTGAAGATTTTTGTTCAACACTCGACCCTATGTCTATTGTTGTAATGATATCTTATGAATGTGATGTCAATAGTGAAATTGTATCGCCTTCAGAACATTATATTAAAGTAATTTAATCAACTAAAAAATACATATGAATTACCTATTTTAATAAATATAAATTATTTTTAGATGATTCTTTGGCATAAAAGAAGTTTGACAGAAACTGGACGTGTACGAAGGGAAGTGGAGATGGCTGACAGCGGACTTCAGTTTGAAAGAAGTTTATATGTTGCTAGTGTAGCGGAAGAACTTCCATCTGGAACAATTGTGTGTAGTGTTCATGCAAGGAGTATGCCTCCAAATAATAATCCAATTGAGTATCAAATGAGTCCTATTATTGATACTAGATCACATGCAATGTTTACCATCGATTCCAACTCTGGTTTGGTTACAACTTTGGTATCATTAGATAGGTATGTACAGCTATGTTTTAATAATAATTTATTATAACCACACAGATTATTATTTTTCATTAAAATAATTTTAGAATTGAAAAAAAAAAGGAAATTAAGAATTATTAAATAATTATTTATAATTAATTAAATGTATAATTAGTTATTTATTAACATTATTATTATGAAAATTATTAAATTAATAGAGAAATAAATACTTAATTACAATTTTTATAGTTTTTTTTTATAATCTTTTCAGAGAATTTATGGATGTTCATTATCTACGAGTAGTTGCCATAGATACATCAACTCGCCCATCTACAGCTACTACAACACTTCAAGTAAATGTTGTAGATGCTAATGATCATTCACCTGTATTTGAATCTGCTTCTAGCATGTACGAAGCATCAGTTAGGGAATCTGTTTCAGTTGGAACTACAATTATAACCATACGAGCAACAGATCTAGACATCGGACTCAATTCGCAGGTATGACTTATGATTTTGTCTAGTATTATTTTACTATAATTAAAAAGAAAATGACAAATACTTCGCGCGATAGGTGGGCCACTGTTGTAGGTGAGAAGTTGAGAAGGTAAAGGGGAAATTTAATGTATATTTATATGCAAAAATAATCAATGCTAACAAAAAACAATTCTGAGCGGAGTTTGGTTTTACTTTTTGAAAGGCCATTAAATTAGGTACGATTTTAAAATTATACATTTTGTATATTTTCCAGCCTCTTTATGAAAATCTTGAAAAAATTAAAAAATGACCTTTCTAAAGTATCACCCCAATCAAATTTTCTTTTAGAAAAGTTATTAAAAAAGAAAAAAAAAAATTGTAAAACCAATACATTCTTTGCTCCACTTAGAATCTAAAATCATATCAGTTATTATATAATGTTTGAAAGGGAATAAATGACTTGTATCTGAGTAGTAAAATGTTTTAACTATTTTAAGAAAACAAATTGAAATTTTTTTGTATGGATATATTGTAATGTATTTATTTACAACTTTTTTTTTCCAGATTGAATATTCTATTGAGAGTATATCTAGTGGTGGTTTGAATGCTAGTTCAGATGAGACTTTTGGAATAGATCTTCGTAGTGGAGTTGTCAGTGTACGACGAAATTTAGACCGTGAAGTATGTGAAGTTTATACGATTATGATTAAAGCTAGTGATCAGGCAGCACCTCCATCACCAAGACGTTCAGCAATTGCTTCTTTAGTAGTGAAAATATTGGATGATAATGATAATTATCCGCAGTTTTCTGAACGCGCTTATACAGCTAATGTTGCTGAGGACTTGAATCCTAATCAAAGACCAGTTATAGCCACAATTAAGTAAGCTTAAAAATCTTTATAGTTAATATGAAAAAATATCTTATTTATTTATTACTATTTTCAATATTCGATTATTTCTTAATATATTTTGACTACAGTAGATGCTATGGACAGCACTAAATACACATTTTTAAATACCAATAATTTCTTACAATACAAACATGTTTTTATTCTATTATTTCCATAACAAATACATAGAGATTTTATTTTTATATTCAATATTTTATAAAATATTTATGTTTTAACTTACCTGAACTATTGATTAATAAAAAATATATTTCAGAGCTACTGATGCCGATCAAGGATTAAATGCTGTTGTTCGGTATGCTATAATTGGAGGCAATACACAAGGGCAATTTTCTATTGATAGTCAAAATGGTGAAGTGTCACTAGTAAAATCTTTAGATTATGAAGCAATGAGAAGCTATCGACTTATGATAAGAGCTCAAGGTATCTAACTAATCTATAAAGTATAAAATAATCATATATTTCATAATCACCTTAATCATTTTTTTAGATGGTGGAAATCCTAGTCGTTCTAACACTACTCAATTACTAGTAAATGTAAAGGATGTTAATGATAATCCTCCTAGATTTTATACTTCACTTTTTCAAGAATCTGTGTTAGAAAATGTACCTATTGGATATAGTATTGTAAGAGTACAAGCATATGATGCAGATGAGGGAGAAAATGCTGCATTAAAGTATCGCATATCTCCAAGAGATTTTGAAGGTGCTCCTGCAGAGAATTTGCCAATTACTATAGATGAAAAGAGTGGCTGGGTGTACACAACTCATTTATTAGACCGAGAAACTAATCCTAAATATCAATTTCATGTCGTGGCTGAGGATGGCGGTGATCCACCAAAATCAGCCACAGCAAGTGTTGTGGTTACTATTCAAGATGTTAATGATAATGAACCGACTTTTAATCCAAAACAATACGATGTTGTCATTAGTGAAGATTCATCTCCGGGAACACCACTTACTACAGTAATAGCTACTGATCCAGATGAAAATCCAAGGTATTTTTCTAGTTACACAACTTTTGTTTTGTTATCAATTGTTATAGTATAATATATATGTTTATATATATATTTTTATTTTATAGATTGCACTATGAAATAGTTAGTGGTAACTTGAGAGGAAGATTTGCCATCGCAACACATAGTGGTAAAGGTCTAGTAACTGTTGCTCAACCACTAGATTATAAACAAGAAAAACGATTTATACTATCAGTGAGTATTAATGATTATATTTTTCAATGCAGTATTTTTTTAATAAACATTAAAATTATATTGAGATTAATTTTTTATTATTTTTTAATATATAGGTAACAGCAACTGATTCAGGTGGTTTATTTGATACTGCAACCATTTATGTCAATGTTACTGACGCTAACAATTTTGCTCCAATTTTTGATAATGCTCCATATACTGCTAGTATTTATGAAGACGCTCCAGTTGGTTCCACGGTTCTTGTAGTGTCTGCTACCGATGGTGATGTTGGCCAAAATGCTTTGGTTAGTAAAATTGTATTTAATTTAAAGGGACTGCATCATTTTTTTTTTTTTTTGCCACATAAACATGCATGTTTACCCTCTTTTGGGTAAAATCTCCCCTGCTTCATAGTGGTTCAATAATTTGTTTTTTTCTGTTGGAAAGATGAAGATTACTTTGAGCGTAATCTCGGTTATAGATTTTTTTTTCATCTAGCTGACCAGAACGTGGGTCCTTAAAGATTTTGAAGTGGATAGAGTTTAAATAATGGGATTCATTCTTGGAGCACCTCGTCTTGATTCATTTATGCTATTGTAGCCCCAGGTTTTGTTGTGACTATTTAAATTACTAGTGACCACAATAGTATCTTATGAAATGTATTATTTACCCATTTTAAATTTGGAGGCTTATAGACATTAAATTTGTGGAAGTCATCAATGGCTAACCCTATTATTTTCGTGTGTCCAGATAGTGCTATATTTGCCTATTTCTGACTTGATGTTGAAAACTAGACCATATATATTTTATTGTGGTAATGAGCAAGTTCAATCCAAGAATTTGGTAATTATCAATGTTGCTATAGTTGAGTTATAGGTTTCCTATAGTGAAAAGATGGTGGTCGTTATATTATAGTGTTTGATAGTGAATGATGTGCTTGATTTGAATGGTCTGTGTGTCCATGACTGTTGTCAAAGCCCTTATAAAGACTATTTAATGTAGGTTGTGAAATAGAATTTTGAAAATCATTTATGGAAATAATTGTGATTTTTATTAATCAATTTATTTTTTTCTTTGATTCAATGTGTTAGCAGTACTTACAAGTACGCTACGGCACTGTAGTACTTCCTTCTGTTGTTCAAGTACAGTATGCCTGGTATTTTAAATGTTTTGTAAATTATGTGAGACTTCTGCACATTTTGTTTTCAATGGTTTAAGAACAATGAAATTAGTTAGGTGATTTTAGTAATTCATTATTAATCAGAAATTATTAAAACTCTGCGATTGCTTAACTATTAAATACAGTTAAGCATATGAATTGTATGCAGAATATAAAATTGATACTAAACCTAAATTTTGGGTTTGAAGAAATATAGAAGTTTGGCCCAAAAACTTTTTTACATTCATGTATTTTAAATTAAAATCAACCATCATACAGTTTCGACATTTCGGCCTCCTTAACTGATGGCTGTATTTGTAGAATGAAAAAAGAATGATATCATAAAGCTTTTTATTTTTCAGATAATTACACATACCTTCTATCACATTAATAATAAAAGTGCCGTACTTACAAATATTTCTATAATCTTTTTTTTTTCAGCCATGATTTTGAATTGTTTTATTTCTTCAATATTCATCATTATTGGAAAAAAAATTATTACCATTATATTTATTTTCAATTAATAATAAAATTGCATAGTCATTTTATAAGATCTATATTTATATAGAAAATTATTAAACACAATTTTTAAAACTTTGCTATTGCAGTGAACAAACAATACGATACTTTCAATACTTTCACATTTGTTAATTTTATTTTAAGTAATAAAAACGATAAAACCAGGTTGAACATAAACAATTTGGTCTATAATTAAACCAATAACATTGCCTAATAGAATACGGAAAAGTTGTTAAACCTATGAAGTATTCAAAATTGCCTATCCTTTTGAGTTATTGTTAACAATGACTAGGGAATCATAATTCCTAAATTATCATCTTTTCTGATAACATATTTATATTATGTATTATAACAGTGAAAGTAATAATTTTTATTTTCGGGGAAATTTGACAACATAAAAATGTAAAATTGCATAAATTAATATTACTTCACGTCAGATATTTAAAAATGACCATTCAATTATAATCAAAATACGGTATATGTATAGAATCATATTTGCTCTTATAACTATTTATAACTAACACGAACATACTATTTAGGCAGTATTGACGAGAATTAAAATTGCTTAAATTTTACTCCTTAATCAATAGCCATGGACAGACCCTTTAAAAAGTTTTGTTAATACTTAATGTATTTATTTAATATTTAAATGTATTTTAGATCACCTATTCGTTAGCGAGTGGTTATGGTGATGCTTCTGAGTTTACTATAAATGCTCAAAGTGGTGCTATCGTGACAACAAAACCATTAGACCGCGAAGTTCAAAGTGGATATTTACTTACAGTTACAGCTAGAGACGGTGGCAATCCTCCACTGTCTGATACTACTGATGTAGAAATTTCAGTTACCGATATTAATGACAATGCTCCACAATTTTTCAACGCTTCATATTATGGATCAGTTTCGGAAGATGCTCTTACTGGAACTAGTGTCCTTCAAGTAAAAATATATTTTTTGTTGTATACCATTAAATCTTATTGTTCAATAAATGTATATTATTATTTATCATTTAGGTTAGTGCATCAGACGCAGATTCGGGTTTAAATGGTCGCATTAAATATGCTTTAGATGATGGTGTAGAAGCATTCATTATCGATCCAACATCTGGAATATTAAGAACTGCTACTTCTTTAGATAGAGAAAGTATTCCTCAATACAATATTCATGTATTTGCTATTGATAAAGGTTCACCATCTCTCTCCACAGCTGTATGTAAATTCAATTTTATTAATATACAATTTATATTAAAATGTTAAATTTTTCTAGGTACCGGTTATTATTCGTATCGAAGATGTAAATGATTCACCACCTGTGTTCGAATCCGATAAATTAGTTATGTATATTGCTGAAAATTCTCCAGTAGGTTCTACTGTCGGGGAACTGTACGCTAAAGATCCAGACGAAGGACTAAATGCAGTTGTTCAATATTCTATAATAGGTAATTAAAAATTATATATTATGACTTATGAGTATGGCTCACTAATATGACTATTCACAATATTTATCTTTATTTAATAATAAATATAATGAAATAATTTAGTACAATGAGAATAGTAATCTATTTTTTTCAAAATATAGTTAAAATAGAATTTACAGTTAATTATTCATTTTTTTTGAAGTTCCATAATGCTAGCCAACATTTTCTACTAGAAACCACTCGTGATATTGATAATTTCTGGTAGGAAAATACATAAAATATTAGACATAAAATAAATAAAAAAACATACATTATAGTATAACTATTACATTCATTGCTTTACTTAAAATCTAAAAATTGCATGGTATTTCATTTTCTTGTACTAACACATTACTGTGTTAGTTTTTTACTGTTTTTTTAACAGTATAAAAATATTTTATGATGTTAAGTTATATGAATTATATATTAGTTTTAATGATATTTTTAAATTATAAAGGTGGAGAAGATGCTAGTAGTTTTTCTCTTTTAAGAAGACCTGGACTTGATAAAGCTGAACTATTAACTTCTATTGAACTAGATTATGAATCAAACAAAAAGAAATTTGAATTAGTAGTTAGAGCATCATCGCCTCCATTACACTCAGATGCTCCATTAACAATTTACTTGACCGATGTAAATGATAACGCTCCAAGACTTTCAGATTTTCAAGTTATTTTTAATAACTTTAAAGATTACTTTCCTACTGGGATATTTGGTCAAGTTCCTGCATTTGATGCAGATGTGTCAGATAAGCTTGTTTATAAAATTATATCCGGAAATAATGCTAATTTAGTACAATTAAATGAATCAACTGGTATGTTGATACTATCTCCACAGTTAAATACTAATGTGCCTAAAATTGCTTCAATGGAAATATCAGTTACTGGTAAAAAGTTTTTTATTATTATTATTTTTTTTTAAATTTAGTTATTTTATGGTTGTATTTCTTTTAGATGGAGTAAACGAAATTAAAGCTACCATGACACTAATAGTGAGATTGGTTACTGATGAAATGCTTTTTAATTCTGTGACTGTTCGGTTAGCTGATATGACTAAAGAAGCATTTTTATCTCCATTGTTGGAATATTTTACTTCTGGTTTAGCAGCAATTATTCCATGTCCAAAAGAAAACGTATATGTATTCAGTATTCAAGATGATACAGATGTTGATGGACGAGTGTTGAATGTTAGTTTTTCATCAAAACAGCCAGATGGTGTATTTTACTCTCCTCAGTTTCTTCAAGAACGTGTTTATTTAAACAGAGGAATACTTACTCGTTTATCAACTGTTCAGGTAAATTTTTACCATTTATTTTATTTATTTAGTCAATAATCTAATTCAAATTACAGATTTTACCATTTGAAGACAATTTATGTGTTCGAGAACCTTGTTTGAATTTTGAACTTTGTTTAACAGTTTTAAAGTTTGGAAATGCTTCATCGTTTATTAGCAGTGACACAGTTTTATTTAGACCAATTTATCCAGTAACTACTTTTGCTTGCCAGTGTCCATATGGTTTCACAGGTATATTTTAAAATTTGTTTTGTTTTTAATTATTATTGAAACGGTGTTTTCATATTAGGGAGTCAAAAATATTATATGTGCGACACTGAGGTTGATTTGTGTTATTCTAATCCATGTAAAAATGGAGGTCAGTGTCAAAGCAAAGAAAGTGGATATTCATGTCTTTGCCCACATCGTTTTGTTGGTGATAACTGTGAAATCAACTTAAACCATGACGAATGTAAACCTGGAATATGTCATTCTGGGGCCACGTGTACTCCTCTAAAAAGTGGTGGATTTTTATGTGATGACTGTTCTCCTGCTGGTACTTTTGAACATTACGATGAAGTATGCAGACTTCGTTCTCGAGGCTTTCCAAAATCTTCATTTTTGACTTTTCCATCATTAAAACAAAGAAATCGTCTACATATTTCTTTAAAGTTTGCAACATTAGAAGAATCAGGAATATTATTATATAATGGTCGTTATAATGAACGCCATGATTTTATTGCCTTGGAACTTGTTGAAGGAGGTCGTGGAATGCAATTTTCATTTTCTTTAGGATCAGAAATCACTTATGTAATTGCCTATCCACCAAACGGTGTAGTAAACGATGGACTTTGGCATTCTGTTATAGTTTCTTATATAAATCGAGTGAGTTATAATAAAATCCAATTTTTAAAATAATAAATTATTTACTTTTACAATAATTGTATATTTATTTTTAAGAGTGCAACTTTGAGCTTAGATGACTGTGATGTTCCATTAACTGTAAAGTATGGCACAAAACTTGGATATGCCTGTGCTAATGTTTCTGTCCAAATTTTAGAAAAAAGGTAATTGTTTCTCTACATTTTTTGGATATATCAGTAAATATTTAATTATTTATTTTCAGGTGTGAAATTTTAACTGAAAGTTGTCATCGTTTTTTGGATCTCACAGGTCCACTTCAAATTGGAGGTTTGCCTTTGTTACCAGATTCTACTAGTTTTCAAGTGAAAAGTAGAGACTTTGTGGGCTGTATTGCTGATTTATACATAGACCATAAACTTCTAGATTTGAATAGGTTAGATACCAAATAATACTAATACATATTGTGTTAATTTTTACATTTTTGTTTTTTTAGTTTTGTAGCAGATAATGGTACCATCATTGGATGTCCAGAACGAAAATCATTTTGTGTTGATACCCCTTGTAAAAACGGCGGCAGTTGTTCTGACCATTGGGGTACATACAAGTGTAACTGTGTTGAATCTTGGGGAGGAAAAGACTGTAGTCATCGTAAGTATATTTAAATACATTTAAACTTAACTGTATTTATAAATGTTGTATGGTATAATATTTTATATTATATTTTAGCTATAAGGGCTCTTTGGCGTTTTTCGGGAGACAGTATCGTAGCATTCAACCCATTATTACGTACTATACAATTTCCATGGTATACATCATTATCATTAAAGACCAAGAAAGCAGATTCTCCAATTATTTCTGTTAATATAGGACAAAATACAACTGCTCGAATTTACGTTAGTATACATTATTTTATATTTAAGTATTTTCCTTATGAGTTTTATATTTTTAGTTGGAAAGTGGTTTCATCATTTATGTTGTTGACAATCAAAAAGCAGTATTTAGTAGTGTCCAAATTAATGATGGTGATTGGCATAATCTGGAAATTATATGGCAGAATACAGGTGGTGTTAGATTTGTTTTAGATCATGGAATTCGATCTGTTGTCAAAACACTTAATGCTAAACTTCAAGGACAATTTGTGGGAAAAATTCAGTTAGGAAACTTCAATGAAGATATAACTAATATCGACTCAAATATAGGATTTGAAGGATGTATTAAAGTAAATAAGATTTGTATATTTATTTATTCTTTACTAGTTTTACTGCACAGCTTTGCCTGTGTCAGTAACGACAAAAAATAAATAAAAATGTGTTTTCCTTTGACTTCATCTCAGTCTCTGGCACTGCGATTTTTAGTTGCGTTTTAATTTGTAAAAAATATGGACATACTTCGCGCATGGGTGGGCCACTGATGTAGGTAAGAAGTTGGGAAAGTAGTAGAGGGGAAATTGAATGTATATTAATGATAACCATTGCTAACAAAATAACGGTTCTGAGCGGAGTTTGGTTAATGGTGTTGTTTTGTCAACAATGTATATGTTATATTTTGGTAAAATATTTATATACGCATTAAAAATTTTCTTTAATAATTTTTGTTAAATATTGTACTTTTTATCCAATTGTCCCTATTAACAGCTAGAAAAAACAAAAAATGAACTGTCTAAAGTACTACCCCAGTCAGATTTCCTTTCAGACAAAGTACTATCGTTGTAAATCTGAGCAAAATCATTTATAAAAGTTATTCAAAAAAAATAATAAAAAATAAACACTGTAAAACCAATACATTTCTCGCTCTACTCATAATCTAAAATGCAGAAAATGAAAAACCATTGGCAAATAACCAATGAATAACTATCGTGGTAACATAGGTAATCTATAGAAAAACTTTCTGAGAATCGGTTCAGCAGTTTAGATATAAAAATAAACAGATGGACTTTCGCATTTATAATACTTTAGCTACCCTGTACGGTGACAAAATTTGTGGAGTTAAAAAATATATTGATTTAACTATGTTACTTCTAGATTGGAATATAGTGTGGAAGGCTAATGCGCTAACATAGTTTTAGATGTTGATTTTTAGCTTAAGTGCACTACCTACTAATATTCTAACCCTTGCCCCACCTTTTAAGGATTGATTTTTAAAATTTAAACTAGTCTGGATAAACAGATTATCTAAGGCCAGAAGAATTTGCTGCCAGGAACTGTTTCTTCTAGAGGTTACCTTACAAACTAACAAATTGTTCTCCTTTATATATTTGTTTTATAAATAAAACATTATTATCTGTTGTTGGTAATTAATTAGGATGTACGAATTGGCCACAGTGGAGGAACTACTGTATTAGAAATTCCTGAAATTATGTTACATGTTAGTGAAAATTGTGAACAAGATAATCCTTGTAATGGAAATAAATGCCCAAAACATAGCGAGTGTATACCTTCATGGAACAACTATACTTGTAAATGTCATACAGGTAATGTTTGAAAAAATGTACTTTTAATAAATAATCATTATATAATATATAATTTGTTTATACTTTTGTAGGTTATGTGGGAGTTTCTTGTAAAAGTGTGTGCGACACTAATCCTTGTGAAAACAATGCTTTGTGTATTGAAGATCGAAAAAGTTTACGTGGTTATCATTGTCAATGTAATGCAACAACATTTAATGGTATGTAATTTCTTAAAAACCATTCTTGCATAATATATGAAACATTTATAAGGCAAATATAATATTTTTTTTCAGTTTAATTTAAAACAAAAATGATTTTAAATTAATTATATTTCGCTCAAATTTTTTTACAGGCGACTACTGTGAGAATGAACTTAAAGAATCATGTCCCATAAGTTGGTGGGGGCATCATCGAGGAGTTTGTGGGCCTTGTAATTGTATGGTCGACAATGGTTATAATCCTCACTGTAACAAAACTACAGGTCAATGTTATTGCAAAGTAAAGTTTGATTCTATCTAAAAAATATTTAATGACAAGTTTGAAATGTAGTATTATTAAATATTATGATTTACTTTTTTAGGACAATCATTTTACTCCTCAGGATTCTAATAAATGTCTTGAGTGTGGTTGTTATAATGTTGGTTCTTTTGATAGAATGTGCGATCAAACTACGGGACAGTGTAAATGTCGCCCAGGTGTAATAGGTCGAAGGTGTGATCGGTGTCCAAATTCTTATGCTGAAGTTACATTAAATGGATGTGAAGGTAACTAAATTCAAAAACAAAAAATATATTGAAAATTCAATTAGATAGAAAAAATATATTGATATTTTTATAACCTGTTCAGTTATTTATGATGGCTGTCCAAAAAGTATATCTGGTAATATTTGGTGGCCTAGAACGAAATGGGGTGACCGTGTAACCGAAAACTGCCCCATTGGTTCTCAAGGTAAAGCTACACGACTATGTCATAACACAATAGATGGTTGGCAATCACCTGATATTTTTAATTGTACTTCAAATGCGTTTATAGATCTTCAGAGACTCGTAAGTATATAAAGTTATCTTGCTTTAAGATCAAATATACAAGTTTTTGATTAAATGCAATGTTATAATGAATTATGTAAATAATATGATTTTTATTCATTAAATATAATTTATAGTTGAATGGATTGGGAACTAAATCCATAAAAGTAACTACATTTGTTGCTGTTAATGGAGCTAGTAATCTCCATAAAGCAGTTAATAGTACTCAGGTTCTCCATGGTTCTGATGTTCTTATTGGCCAACAGCTTGTACAACATTTACTATCGCACGAAGGGTCTTTGTCAGGTTTGAATTTGACTCATAGTCAAGATAAAGATTATATATGGGTTAGTGATATTTTTAACTTATTTATTTATTTGTTTTGTAATTAACTGTAAATTGTATTCAGAATCTAATCATGGCATCAAGTCGTTTGTTGGACTTGAATGAAAGTGATCATTGGGAACGTATAAACAGTTTAACAGCCCAAGGACCTTTTCATTTAATGTCAACAATTAACAACTATATGGCTACTTTGTCTACTACTCAACACGATACTTATACTGATCCATTTGAAGTAGTTACTCCTAATATTGGTTAGTTAATATTCATTGCTTTTTCAACATGTTCAAAATAAAACATTTCTACATTTTATCAATTTAAACTTTTTGTAGCTGTTGGATTAGATGTCGTTTCAGCAGAAAGTCTTTTTGGATTTGAACCTCAACACGAACAGCCAGATTTATCCAATTCTGCAATAACTGAAGAAAAGGTCAATTTACCTGATTCATCTATACTTCAACCAGCAATCCAAGTATATATTTTAAAAATACTTTAATACAAATCATATTTATAATTTAAATTTGTATTTCCTTTCTAGGTTTTGAGTTTAAAACCAGGATCAGAAATATTGGGTTTGAAAAATATGGGTAGCCCTGTGGTTGTTTTACCAAAATATAACAACTATCTTATGGATTCCTCCAAATTTGATAAACATACCCAAATAATGGTACCAATTGATTTATTAGGCATTGAACCAATAAGACATGGTATGACTACTACTAAGGGACAACTTTCTAAAACTGCTGCGGTTGTTGGTTATGTTCAGTATCGTACACTTGGAGCATTACTGCCTTTACGTTATGATGATACAGTTTTAAAAAGATATTCTGTGGATCTTCAAGTGGGTTCTTCAGTTATATCATTTGTTGCAACACTGAATCATAACAATCCCAAAAGTTAGTTTTATTGTTTTTACAACATTTCAATCATTTCAATCATTATTGTGTTAATTTTTAATAGGAAAACAACGGCATGTAAATGGTAAAGAAATTTCGGAGTTATCTGATATGGTACCTTTAGATTCGCCGATTCGTATCAGGATTTGGATAAATAAAACCCCAGTTACTATGAGATCTAACCCACAATGTGTGCGATGGTCAACTTCTAGAATGTAAGTTTCCATATAATTTATTGAATGACAATAATATGATTGTTTTTAAGTGTTAAGTATTAAACATTCATAGTTTGACTTTTTAAAGTTTAAAAGAGTAGGTAACACAAAAATTCAATTAAGTATAATTTTTATTATTCAACTTTAAAAATAGTAGTTTATTTTATGTAAATTATTTTGCTTTGAATTTTGATTAATTGAGATATTTTAGAGTACTCATGTAGAGAGACTAGGTCCCCTTACTCCCCCTCCCACTTAAATCCTTGATTACAATTCTATGATAAAAACGGTTTCAATTAAGTGATTTAAATTTAATAATAGTATTTTTCACCAATAACAATTTCCTCTTGATATTGCATATGTTCATAATATAAAATACCTATGTATTTAGGATACATAACTAACTGTACTTAGGATAGAAAGCTGTCCTAGGATAATGGGGACAGGTGCAGTCACTGTTGTAGATGGGAAGTTGGGAAGATAGAATATAAATGGAAATTTAATATATATCTGGAAGCAACAGTTAACCATTGCTAGTGAAAAAAAAAAAAGATTCTGAGTGGAGTTTGGTTGATGGTATTGCCTTGTGTCATATTTTTGTAAAATAATTACATCGGTATTAAACATGTTTTATAATATTTGTTTAATATTGTACCTATTTTCTCTCTCAGTTTTGTTATGTTTTTCACATTTATTATAAAAACTCGTGGAAAATCTAAAAATTACTTCTCTAAAGTACCTCCACAGTCTGATTTTCTTTCAGAAATAGTGCTATAACTATAAATCCGAGCAAAATTGATGGAAAAAAAAAAATAAACATCATTGCAAAACCATAAGTTTCGTCGCTCCACTCAGAATTTAAGAAATAAAATAATATAATTTTATATATTCTGATATCACAACCAAAACATTTTGGTCAACTCATTTATTATATCATCAACCACTGTAACCATTGATATCATAAATATATATCAAGTAACATAAATTGATGACTTAAATAAGGTAAGAATGGTTAGTAATACAAACCATATCAGGATAATTGTCCCTTGACGAATAAGTCCAATAAGACTTGAAGTTAAGTTCTCAAAAAGTATGATGAGACTGACCATATTGTATGGTTTGGAGTGTTAGGCAAAAAAACAGAACAGAAAATGTGTGGCAGAGATGAGAATCCTTAGGTGGAATCACATTATTTCAAAACATATATAACCAAACTATGTTCAGAATCGTATTTCGTTATTAATTATTTATCCTTGGACACAGTTATTAATTTAATAACTATGTATCCTACCTTTTCCATTTTTTACGTAAACAGTGTCACACCCATCAGTGGTTCATCATTGGCTCTTTTAAAATAAGTTGCAATCTCTTATTCTTCTTATGTCCAATGATGGATAATTTTATTAATTGAATACATCAGTTATACATAATAGTTAAAATATAAATACATGTGTTATAATAAAAATAGTCTGATGAGTATAAGGACTAATTGAGGGTAATAATAACTAAACTATCCCCAGTGAGAGAAAATCCTAATTCTTTGGAAAATAGATAATACAGTATTATTTAATTATTCATTTTAATGTTTATATTTTTCTTCTTTTTAATATAGTACTGATGGTGAGTGGACTCGGGCTGGTTGTCATACTGAGTTACCAGAAGATGATTGGTGGCAAAAAGATCCTATCTATATTAATTGCACATGTAACCAGCTGTCAACATATGCAGTCCTTACTGATATGGTTGATGAACATGTAATATATTTTTCCTTTATAAATAATATTTTTATATTATTATTATTATTATTATTTTTTGATTTCAGTATATAGTCGAATATTCTAATTTGGAATTATTCTTAATTTTAATATCATTTGGATTAGCAATCATTGCTCTCGTTGTGACTTGTGTATTATTAGTCGCTGTACGTGCAGGAACCAATACAAGCTCAATATATACTCATTTTGCTTTATGTTTACTCCTTACACAATGTGTCTATTTGGCTGCTACTCAAACCCGAGGGACTTTATATACTTTTGAGGTATTTTATACTAAATATATTATATTAGTTCAATTAAATTTAATATATTGAATTTTCTTTTTAGATATGGTGTAAATTTTGTTCCATAACTTTACATTATTTGTGGTTAGCTACTATTGGTTGGTCATTAGTGGCCGCCCTGCATCTATATCGAATGTTAACCGAGCTAAGGGATGTAAACCATGGTCAAATGGGTTTCTATCATAGTATCGGTTATGTTTTACCAGCTATTATTGTTAGCTTGTCTGTTGGAGTACGTATCAATCAATATGGAAATTATTATTTTTGTTGGTTATCAGTTCATGAATCTGTCATTTGGAGTTTGATTGGCCCTACTTGTCTCGCTGTAGCCATTACTGTTATTGTTTTACTTCTATGCATTAGAGCAGCATTCACATTAAAAGATCATGTGCTTGGCTATGGAAATTTAAGGTAAAAATGAATATTTTGAAAGCATGATGTATATACTAGTTGGTAATCATGATATCATTTTTAGAAGTGTTTTAGTCGTGCAAGTGATTTGCGTGCCTATATTAGTTGGTGTTTGGTTATTAGAAGTGGTCGTAGCATCAGAACGCGATACACGGCTCACATATACATTGTGTGCTGCTGTATGTGGTCAAGGTTGGCTTGTTTTGGCAGGCTTGTGTTATTCCAATGCAAAACTTCGATGTGGAGTTCACCATTGTGCATTACGACTTATTGGAAAAGAAATACCTGAAAAAAGCGAACCAAACTCTGGGACAGCAGGACCTATTTCACCACCGACAATTAGATCGTCTTTGTCATATCGAAACACGGGAGTTACAAATACGGATGGTACAAGGAGACCAATTGGTATATCTATGTCTAGTACCACTTCTAGATCTACAACAAAAACTAGTAGTAGTCCCTATAGGTAATATTAGTGTAATTAAATTACATCCTTTTAGTTAGGTATTTACTAATCAATCATTTTTTCAGAAGTGATACCCAGTTAAGGAATACATCTACAACGACAAGTAATTATGATCATTCGACGTCTGATTTGCCGTCAAGTTTCCACCGAACACAACATACATCAGATTCTGATTCTGAAGGATCAGGTGAAGGAAGGAGTTTAGACTTGGCTTCTTCTCATAGTAGCGATGAAGATGATTCTTCTCGCCATAGAAGTCGTAGAAGTAATATTTCTTCTAACCGTCCCCCACCATTTTTATCAAATATAAATGAGGATCCAGGATTGCCTCCATCACTGAATGTGATTACAAATTCACAATTGTTCCCTAATTTGAAACCTCTATATGCTCCACGATGGAATAGTCAGCCATATCCAACAGGTTAGATATTAAAAAAAAAAAAATTTAACAATATTTGTTTATTTTATTTATAACTAGCCGACCCGTCACGGCTTCACCCGTGATTGGTTGTTTAATTTGCCTTTGGATAATGATATATAGAACTTTTTAATGAAATTCTATCGTTTAATAATATCGGCAAATTAATATAAAAAAAAAAAAACGGTTAATGAAAACGTATTGAAATGTTTCAAGCGGGATTAATGACAAATATATTTTTACTAAAAATGAATGCAGATACAAAAGAAATGCTGAGTAATTTACGGTTGATAAAGAATTTTATAAAACTTCTGAGTATATGGCGTTTTTTGTTTTATCTCCTGTTGAAATTAAAATCATAAGATGCTTCGGGTCCCCAGTTCGAGAAAATCCCACGTATAATTGTCCATGTGAAAAGCACTGTGTTCGAAGACCTACGCCAACGTACCTGTATGTTTGACCTTGAGCTTTGTTTATCGTGATTGCCAAAGAAACTTTAACAGAGAATTAAAGCCGTTTGAACGGAAACGGCAAGTCCGACGGAATCACGGGAATTCTTGGAATAAATGCAATTTCTCCTTTTGCCGGCCCCGTAAGAATGACGGCTCCTATAACACTATTCTGCAACGATTTTATTTGTCATCTTGTACCGTTACATAACTTCGGTGGTTGAAGATTACGTAATAATGTAATCGGAGTACCAATTTTTAATTTTAGCTTATGGAGAGGAAATCCCGAAGGAGAAAGAGAATTGAGAAATTATTGTAGATATAAATATATAAAGATATAGATAAAGATTAATACGAATATTCGGTATACATGTTGTTTGGTGTGCGTGCGATAAACTTCTCGGAACAATTCGTACCTACACGCCGATGTCAAACACGATACAATTTGACGAACAAAAAGGTCAGGTCGCGGGTAGCTGTAAACCCGCGGGCCGCCGTGCCGCACAATACGTATATAATATGGGTAGACAATTTTTTAATTTTTCAAGAACTTTATACTTATTTTTTATTGACAAAAGTGGTANGTGGTTTTCTCGGTTAGCGCGGTCGTAGAAAACCCCTTACAATTTTATATAATAGTATAGATAATAGATAGATAGATAGATAATAGTTATAGTATAGTATAGTATTTTTATAATATGTAATTGCACAATGAATCGCTGTTTCGTTGTCGAAACGCGCGTGTCAACCGAAAGGTCCGATAATGATTTATGGGATTCAATACGCGGAGTCACGCGTAGTTCTCGATCGAGAAATCCGTATATCTAAACACGCGCGTCCATCGTCCATGTGAACCTAGCCTAAATGATTAGTTAATATAACGAAGTTATAATAATAACAATATAGTATAGATATGAATATTGGGTATACGTGTTGTCGGTGTAAGTGCGATATACTTCTCGGAACGCCGATATTAAACACTATACAAAAAAAAGGTCAAGTTACAGGTAGCTGTAAACCCGCGACCCGCCGTGCCGCACAATATAGGTACAATTGTTTTTAATTTTTTATGAACTTTTTTACTGACAAAAGTGGTACTATAACCTTCAGCAGAGTGTCGGGTTTCAGCCAAAAAAAATTTCAGCCAAATCGGTCCAGTAGTTTTCTCGGTTAGCGCGGTCGAAGAAAAACCCTTACAATTTTATATAATAGTATAGATAATATTTAACAATATATTTTTTACTTCTTAATATTTACTTTTATTGTTTTCACTAATCTAATTACATAGCATTAACTGTATTACCAATAACTACATTCATGTGCAGTTTACATGTCTGTACAGTCTAGTGAAAGTGTATACACCTTACATTTTGGTCCAAATTAGTGCCTAACCTTCAACCACTTCACTGTCGGGAAACATTTCGATGTTTCTGTGAACATTAATTATTTATCTCCCTCCCTCGCCATTGTAATTTAACCTTTCTCTGAAAGCCTATTTGGTACTTAATATCACCAACTCTCCCTTTTTCAAGGTATCACTGTAATATGTTTGTCCAAAATTGTCCAATCTGATTTATTATAATAGATATAGAGACCTCTACATTCTATTTAATAATTTAATAATTTAGGATAGCGTGGGTTTTGTTAATTCCAACATTATTTACGTGTATGCGTTGTATAAAATCGTTTTAATAATAATTAATTTTTTTCAGTCAAAGGAAAATGTTGGGGGTTAAATTACGGTAGAGGTTGGTAGTCCTCATTAATTTGTATCTATAGGTGTAAGAACAGTTATAAATTAGAGCCCCCAGGAGTTACATTTTTGAAAAAATTGAGATAAACTTTCATACTCTATTTTATACCATTGGGATTAAATTTTAAAATATCTTGATACGCGTGTATCTTAATTTTTCACCATTAGGTCGAATATTAGTTTTTATGAATAATTTTCAAAAAAAAATAGCCCTATTTCAAGACCTATTTTACTCTTTAAAATTTTTTTTTTTTAAGAAAATGTTAATTTCTTATTTTGACAAATATATAAATATTTAAGGCCTTTTAAAATATATATAACCAAACTTTTCTCCAAATTGTTTTTGTTAGTGATGTTTTACACGGTGTACTAGTATAAATTAAATTTCCTTCTATATCCACTTATTATCTTATTGTCCATCCTTTTTTATATCAATTTAAAAAAGCTGATACTGTTAGGTGAGTAATTAAGAAGGTAGGTAACATAAAGTTATTTAATTTATATCTGTAATCAATGATAACTCATTGATTTTTTACTTGCCAACTATATTTAAAATTTAACAAACCAGGTACATTGTTTTTTGATTGAATCATTTCTGATATAAAACACGATTCGTACAAATTTAAAATAACAAAATATTAATGTCATATATTTTACGTCTATTGGTTTTTTCCTTTTATGAAAACCCCTTAGAAAATCTAAAATCATCTTTTTAATGCATCAATATTCTTTCAGAAAAATTGTCCAACTTGATATATGGGAACAAGTTTTTTTTTTCTATAAGTTGTTTACTGATAGGAAAAATATAAATAAAACAAATAGGTAATCAATAGATCTTTCATTATGCTCTAAATCTTAAAAAAAAAAACAAATAAACAGTAAAACTAAATCTGAATCTAAAAATATAAGAATTATAATATTATTTTGTCAATAATGAGTTATACCTGTTCTTGTAAAGTCATTTCTATTCGTATATAACAGCCCCTTTCCCTCAATGGATATAAAGTAGTAGATAATTGTAAAAGTCTTATATTTTACTTTTTCATTTAAATGTTTAAATAAATTTTCAAATATTACAAAAGTAAATATTCTCAAATATTTGAGTTCAGTAAATCTTTAAAACAAAAAATCCTTTGGAATAATTTGTTGTTTTGTTTACAATATTTGATTACATTGTTATACATGAAATGTAAAGTTAACAAATGTATTTTATTATTATTATTATTTTTTTTTTTTGAGAAATGAAAAAAAGGAACATTTTAATTAATTTTCTTGGTATACGAGATGATAGTATTGAATCTAGGGATCGTTGCTGTATTTTTTTTAAATTATATTTTATAAGGTTAAATTTTAACTTACAAAGAAAACTACTATATATATTTAAAAACATACTTTATTATTTTATTATGTATTTAATATTTAGTTCAGGAAGAAGACAATGCTGTTGGACAACATCGTTGGACAGGATCAACAATATCTGATCAAGATAATTCAATTATAAATAATCGCATGTCTCTTGAACCACCACTTCTAAGTAGTGAGCACTTTAACTATCATCACAAAAGTTTGACATTCAATTCTCTAAATAAAACAGGATCAGATTGTGATGTTGACGATAAAGCCAGTCTTGGGGACAAATATTTATTTCCTTATACAGGTAATATTTTTCTTTTAAACAAATACATTAATCTTTTATAAAACAAAATTTTTTAAAAATGTATTGGTTTATATTTTAACAATAAGTAAGAAATTATTTTGAAAGATATGAAGAAAAAAAAACCACGATCTTTTATTGTTAAAATGTTAATAATATTAATACATATTTTTATTATCTATCTATTCTTGAATATTCTAGATAATTAACATTATTATATTTTAACTGCAAAAAAATAATAATGAATTACAAATTTAAAATCTAACTAGCTAAATAGATATTGGCTCGGTTATAAATCTAATACATTGTGCTATTATTATAGCTGAAGAAGATCATTGTTACTCTCCTTATCGAGATCTGTACGGTGACAATCGCAGAGAAAGTGAAATATATGGTATATCCATGCCACCGCCTATGGTTACCCGAGGAAGTGAGAATGGATCCTTACACAGTATAGATAATAGGTTTGTAACTGCTCGAGCTTATAGCCGACCAGTATCACCGTCCACACACGCCTCCACATCTACTCTTAATTTACAATCTAGACATGGTTACACGAACGAATATGGCATACAGGAAATATTAGAATCCGAGTGAGTTTTTGGATTGATTTATTATTTATTTTTTTTATTATTATTACTGTAATGTAATATATTTCCAGAGCATATTTAAGAAAAAAAAACTTAAATGCATAGCTCTTATTTTAATCATTTCATTATATAAAATATTCTGATTACACATCAGTACACAATAACTTATAATTATAAAATTATTTTTATTGCTAATTTTAATCACAGCTCAACTAATTTAGGCTTATTAATATTATCATTAATGATTATTTTCTTCTTTTGCATTGCTGCTATGGTGTTTGGATTTTACAGTGAAGAAGAAGTAAGTGTTTCTATATTTTATTAATCTAGAACTTGCTTATAAAATATAAGTATATGATAGTTTTATTTATTCATAACTTTATTGTTAAATTCTAGTTACCAAATTATAATTTCTATTTATTTGTAAGTTACAAAGTTACATTATTGGTAAAATTTTAAAAGGAATCACGCAGATATAACATCAAATCTTACCTTACCAAATATTTAGTCCTTAAAGTAATTCATTTTATAATTTGTACATTTTAAAAAGTACTATATTGTAACAGGCCCAATGTAAGGATGTAGGCTCAAAGAAAAAACTTTGAAATAAATTAAACTCCGACTTGAATTACATAAATAATTTATATTTCCACACAAAAATATTACAAGTCCAATAATAAAAGTCTAAATAATAATGAATAGAATGATTCAAAATTGCTTGCATTTGGCATGTTGACTCTCTGATTAGATGTTGTTTCGGAAGGCGTTATATATGTGAATTCTGTGCCCCTGGAACCTGTTGTTCATAGTGGCTGCTATCTATATTTTGGCCGCTGGATTATGGCGACTGTCAAATTCAATAATTATACATGGTATTTTAATATATATATTAAAATCTAGACCCGTTCATATATTAGTATTTTTGCTCATATTAAAATTAGGATACGGGTGGTGTGAGTCCATGTGCCGAAACTATATTTTGGTACTGTATATTTTTGCAGGCCTACTGCGTCAGGCAGGTATTTAGTTTCATGTGTAGTGACTATTACCGTATGTTGCTCACACGTGCCCCTTGCAGGTATCGCCGTGTGGGCACGTAATAATATTATTAATTAAACAACAGTATAGATTTATATGTTGAAATACTCAATATTATATTGTATGATTTTGTACACCATAATATAGTTATAACCTATAACATAATAAGGAATTATAATGTCATTAACAATTGATAAAAGTTAAATACATACAGTAATTTAAATTGCACCATATTATAGGAAGATTCAAGTATATAATACCTATAATACTTAATGATAATAATTATTAATTATTTGTATGAATATCTAAAACAAGGACATACCTAGTATTACAATAAATATTATTGTAAATTATTAATTCCTTTGATAATAACTGTATTTATTGAGGGGAAAAAATATCACTATCTGTCTTTTAAAACTTTAATATGTGAAACACTACATATTAGATTCGGAATGTAGTGAGTGATCTATTTATTTATTTATTTATTTATTATTAATTATTAATTTAAACGGACTAAGGTCCAATGACAAATTTAACAAACGTAAAGCAAGATGCATTTCAAAATAGATACAGATAAAGAAATTTTATATTTAACAATTATTATTATTTATTATTTAGATAGGCAACCGCCCAATTACAATATAAATTTATTTAGAATATACAAATATTACCCAAAATTATTTTGTTACAGCTTAAGAAAGTAATAAATTAAATACATATTGAACATTATAATAGTTACGTACATATAGAAAAAATATCAACACAATATACGTTTACGAATATCATATACGATAAATCTATTACACAGTATTATAGTTGTTAGTTTAGGAAAGTAAACAATTTATATATAAAAAAAGATTAATATTATACTTATTTACTAATAACATACATCTATTTACGGGAGCATTTTGACTAGTTCGTGAACTGAAACAGCACATAAAAGGTATTTGATTGTCTGGTGCTACGTCTAGGAATAGAGAAATTTAAATTGGCAAGTAGATTAGGAAAATAAATGCTTCCATTAAGTAGTTTAAATATGAAGCAGAGACCTAATCTTATTCATCTTATTTCCAGCGATTCAAGGTTTTAAATATGTCAACAATGGCTGGTAAGAGGAGTGAGGTTGCTGTAAAACGTTACATTTAAATGATACTGTTCTCAGAAACCAATTTTGTATTGATTCTATAGCTTGTATTGAACCTACATTACTTGGTGATCAAACTATGGAGTTTTACTCCAGAATTGAATGTACATATGCGCATTATAATGATTTCAACACAATTGGATTTTTGAAGTCTGCAGCTTTGGGTTGGGTTATAAAACCTATGGATGATGCATTGCTTTGCACATGTGTGCAGTGAGTATTAAAGAGGAGAGATGTGTCAAAAAATATACCTTAATCCTTATTCTGATGACCACAATTGAGTTCCTAATCGTTTAAATAATAACTATGAATATATGGGGATCACTTTTTCAAAAAAGTTAATGACTACATTTTTTAATATTGAGATATAATTTTGCTCACTCCAAATACAGAGGTGGTTCAAATTATTTTGAAGGATTGCAGCATCATTAGATGTTTTAATGATACAAACAACTTTAAGATCATCAGCAAATAATAACATTTGTGAATTAAAAAACTTAATGTCATTAATGAATAAATTAAATAAGAGCGGTGCAAGATGAGATCCTTGAGGGACACCAGAAGTCACATTAAAGTAATTCAAATAGAAATGTTTTTACTTAACGTAATGCTTCCTATTGGAAATGAAAGAAAAGGGTTTTGAATACCTAGACATTTTAATTTAAAAACTAGGACATTATGATCGATTATGTCAAATGCTTTTGAAAAATCCGTAAACACAACATCTATTTGATGGCCTGATTTAAATGCATCCAGGATATAATGCTCGAATAGTAGAAGATTTGTGGTTGTATATCTACCTGATATATAAAGCCATGTTGTTTATTAATAAATATATTTTTAAATAGTGGGTTAATTTTTTTAAACAATACTTTCAAATATTTTTTGGAACAATTGATGAATAAAAAAAAAAATATATATCACAATTCATAAATAAATCTTATAATTTAATAATTAAGCATAATTTAGAATAGATTAATAATATAATAACAAAAACAATTCAAACATAAAATCTAATAATATAGTTGTTAAAAGATTCAATAGAATTAAAATTAAATAAATTGATTTTGGTATCATTAGCTAACCTAGTGATTTTAATTAAAGGGAGATTTATTAAATAATTGGTTTTTTTGTAATTGTATATAAAAGGTGTTAGTAGATTTAATGTGGCATTGAGGTACATACAAATCTAAATAATTTAATAATTCAGGGCTGAGTATATGACCATTGACCGATTTATATAGGAATTTTAAATCACTTATATTTCTCCTGACAGCAAGACTAGTCATATTTAGTGTCTCTAACAGTGGTTTATTAGGTGTATGAGGTTAACGTGGAATATCACATTTGTACCATATAAAGTGAAGGAAGCAATTCTGTATAGCTTCAAGACATTGAATATGAGTATTTTCTTAGGGCGACCAGACTATCGAAAAATTATATTCTAGAATAGAACATATTATTGAAAAATATAATGTCTTAAATGTAAAGGGGTCAGTAAAATCTTTACATGCCCTGCTTATGAATCCTCAAATAAATGATGATTTCTTAAAAATATTTAAATAATGTTTATTGAAAGATAAATTTGAACTAAACATAATACCTAAATTAAGATTTTAAATCACTCGTCGAAGCAAAATATCATCTAAATAATAATTATAAAGAACGTTAAACTTGCTTTTACTATATGTTTTTTTTTTATTGTGTACTAGGAACTTTTCTATTAGAAATCTAGTATCGATCTTCCTAATGTAGCATTTTTTCTGAAAAGAAACTTTATTTAGTTTAAGCAATGGAAGATCATTTTTGTTTTTCCAAGCAGTTTTCATAATAGTTGAGAAAAATTGTAAATATTTACAACATTTGTAGGGTAACTATTTCAATGTTTATAATTTTTTCAAACTATGTTTTTGAGCAAAACCGAAAAAATCGCAATGTATGCTTTAATGGGCAATCTTTTTTAAATTTTTTTTTTTTACAACATACCAAAAATAATTATTTTGATATAATACAATTCCATATTAAAATATTATAATAGTGCTTCTAAGTAAGAATAGGAATATAATGTAAAAACAAAAAAAATATTACTTTTTGGATTAAAAGTTGTATTAAACACTAAAGTCACGGTATGAACAAATGACAATGTATATAGAAAAATAATAAAATAATAAAAATTAATAAACAATATTGCTTAAATAATTAAAATAATTATTTAAGTGTGGTTTACACTTGCATAGTGAAATAAACAAAAAAAATTAACTTTTTTCTACAAACTCAAAATTAAACAAATCATTAACAGTTTTGTATCTTATAAGACTGCATAAACTCAGTAAGGTATTTAAAGGATATGTAAAAACATATAAATCTAGTCTTTATTTATAACCAAACTTCACTATGAATCGTTTTTCGTTAGCAATGGTTTATTACTGCTTACGGATATAAATTGAATAACTTTATATATCCTAACCTAACTTCCCACCTACAACAGTGGCACATCAATTCTCCAGTATCAGCTCTCTTTTTATTTTATTTTTTTATGTTTCCCTATACACACTCCAACCAAATCAATGGTCAATTTATTTCAGTTCCATTTTTTATAGCTGAAATAACAAAACTTCTACAAGATCTACCAACAAACAACATTCCATTATAATTATAACTTCTTACCACATTATTACATTATCATTTTGGACATATTCTGTTTTAATTTTACTAAAATTCTATTGTTATTTCTAATATGAAAACAATATATTATATGTGAAAAAGTACCTACTACAAAACATTCAAAGACAGGTTGCTTTATTTTTAAAATGTATTATTAAATAATATTGTTTATCATACTATGCATAATAAATATATATTTTTTTTTTTTTTTGCCATTATAGGAAGGATTCGAGTGAAACCCCAGTATAACGTGGTTCGATACAGTACAAATTATCTTATTATGTGTTTCTTTTTTCCCTTTCAAATTGTGTAATATTTAATTCTGTGCAATAATTGTATATTTAAAAAAAACATTGCTTCCTTCTATTTTGACTCCATATTATTTTATTATTAAGTATAAACAGTTTTTATGGTCTCAATATTTTACTATTATTTTTGTACTTAAAATTTGTTTATGTAAATATTTTATATCTAAGATAAGCTTGAACTAGGGTTTCCTATTGTTAATTAGTGTAGCGGTAGACACAATTACAGTGTAGTATATTGCAGTATTTTATGTAGATAGTTAATAGTTGTATACTAATTTTTGACAGCTAAATTTGTACATATATATAGGTATATTTTATAAAACCATTCAAATGTGCATTTCCACAATTGTGTAACCTTTAATTTGTTTAATATAAGACTAAATTGTGTAAAATCAATGAAATTAAGAAGAAATCAATAAGAATAAGTAATAACCTCTGAGAACCCTAGTCAAAGCAAAGCCCAGGAACCAATCAGCCACGCTTCCACTGCCATGGACCTTGTACAGACAAACTTACTTTTTAGGAGTATAATATTGATATTATTATTAATTATCTCATTTATATCATTCCACACAATCACACATATCTTAGTATAAAATTATTCCAATTTGATCTATTTATTATATTTTATCTTAAGTGCCATACTGCCGCGAATTGGTCCAATCGTATGTGATACCTAGGCCTAGGTATATATAATCTTTAATCTTTATCCATTTTGACGTTCATAAAAGTGCTCTGGTTATTTTATTATCACGGTTATGATTGTTAGAAATGTCATATATTTATACATACTTTTTCAGATTGTTGCATATTTTTGAATTATAACAATGTAACATTGTGCTCAACTGTTATGGTCCAGCAAAAATTTATTCGATGAAATTATTGTAATAATAATATAATATAGTAATATACTATTATCATATTTTGTAAGTTAAGAACACTCAATTTTATTTGTAGTCGAGTGAAAATCGTGATCTGTATTTTTTTTTTTTTTTACTTTTATTTTGACATTCCAGAAGAGTTGTGATTTTTTTTATTTTTTAAATAAATATTTGTATTATATTTATGTATGAAAATATATTATAGATTTTAATTCTTTCTAGTGTGTAAATTTGAAATGATTATTTTTATAATATTTACTTCTAATTTGTTTTAGACTCTAAGTGCAGCAAAGAATGTATTGAATTTTCAATGTGTACTTTTGTAAACAGTTTTTCTAAATGAAATCTTGCTTCGATTTTGCCATTTGAAATGTATGATTTCTATTTAAATGAACAAATTTTGAAAATTCATCATCGAATGGTGAATTTAATTAGTCATCAAAACAACTCACTCACAAGTGACAAACAGTTATTGCTTTAATTAGAAAAACAACTAGAAGGTGACTCAACACTCAAAACTACATAAAAATGTGCATATGCATCTTTAAGACAATATTCGTCTAATATGTTCAACATTTTCATTCAGGGCCCAATAAAAGATATATATTATTGTATTATAGTATATCTTTAATCATTATTCAAGGCCATTGGTGGGGTAGTGATACTTCTAAACTTGAAATTTACACTGCTGAGTTTTAAATTTCACAAAACTTATACCTAATGTCTTGTTTTTTTTCTACTTATTTTATTACATAATTATCATAAAATGTATTAGGTATCTTACTATAAAATTTGTTAAATTGATATTTTGGAGTTACCAAATTTGTAATCATACTTCTCCCCATTGTCTACACTTATAAGAAAAATTAAATTAGAAAGGGTACGTATGTTAAAAAATGTGTGTAAAAGAAGTACTCCGTCCTCCCAAATTCAACTTTAGTTGTTTGCAGCCACATGTCACAAATAACCGGTCCTTGTCATCGTTTTATGCATATTATTTTTAATACCTATTTTTGTTTTGTAAGTAGTGTACAGTAGGCGCACCAGACAAACTGACGGATTTGTCGTTGGGTTTATGCAAGGTAACTTTTAGTAGATAACTGTCTAGCCTTTCTAAAATAATCTGTATAATATACATCCGAGCCTAAAATAGTGTGTACCAAGATTTATATTCTATAACGTGTTTATTATTTTTAATAAGTAATATCGATTAACAGAAATAACAGTCATTTGGATTTTCACAAAAATATACCTATACAGGATACCGAACATACATGTGATAAGTGAAGCTCGAACCTTCTACCAGAACAGTAAAAAAATTCTACTTTATATCAGTAATAAAATAAACGGTTTCTATGAATACCTGCCTACCTGGAATAAACGACACAGTTATCTTATTATTATAAATGGCTATTTTAAAATATTTAATGTGGACATATTATAATAAATTCAATTTTAACATTTTCTCAAATTATCACAGTTAGCAGTTAGGAGTATCAACTGCTAAAAATCAATTATCAATCTATAATTAGGTAGAGTAGAAAAATGTGTCATTTATTTCAAGTAGGCGGGTACTGATAAGAACTGGTTATTTTATTAGTGACATAACCCATTTTCTTTTACTGTCTGGTAATCTCACTTTTGACTAGACCACTAATACCATCTAGTATACTCTTTACAAACTATGTCAATATGTAGAATAAATAAGGCCGTGATAGAATAGAACAGCTGATAGGCAACTTATTACACACCTTACTCCTCCAGTCTAAACTTTAAACTGGTTTTAGTTGATTTTTATACCAATATTGTTTTAAGATCTTTCCTTTCGGTATCCAGTATATCATAATTCGTGGTATAGCCATACACCCATAGTAGAGCACACAACCTTAGATTATTAGGTAGAACAAAACATAACCCAGCGATTCCCAACCTCTTTTATTCTACATCTCCTTTATGGATTTTTCAAAAATTGCACGCCCCTCCTCTTAGCGACAATAAAAACTTAACTTACCTAACTAACTAATTTTTACAGAAAACTTATGGACGTGTTTTTTCTAGACATGTAAAATTTTAAAAACATTTAAGCCATTGTCGAGCTATTTATAGACATTTGAATTTTGCGAGTTTCTCTACGTAATTTTTATCTGCTAGGTAAAACACTGACTTGAACATTTTACAGAAGGTTTAGTTACGTTTTAATACTAAGGGCACGTGGGATATGAGCCCAGGGTCCTAGCCTTATAGGGGCTCCGAAAAAATAATTTTCATTTTTATATTATTATGTACTGACGCGACTTTTTTCAACTAAATATTTGACTGTCAGCCTTAAATGTTAAGTTATAATTTTAAAATATAGTTAAATTCTGTTAACTCAAAATTTAAATGTTTCAAAAACGACGATTATCCCTTATACATGCAACACGCGTAGATCGCTGTACAGACTACAGTAGCGGCTGGCTGCTGCACAGTTATTATTAACTATTTTTAATAATTAATTAACAATTAATAGTTGATATAAGTAGATAAAAAATGATATTTAGGTAATGTAATGAATAATGATAAGAATGATTATAATAATAATAATTTAATTATGATTATAGAGTTTTATGGCGGTGTATGGTGAACATACAGTTCAGAAACAGACTCATTAAAGAACTAAACGAACTAAGGCGTTATAGAGAACCAGTAGGCAATTAGGGGAACTAAAATTAACTAAGTGTCTTTTTATAAAACCCAATACACGGAATGCTTTTCCGGTCATAATATCAATATGAGAACCAAAGTTAGGCGAAGGAACAAACGCAATGCCCAAATTCTGGATTTGGTTAACGCCATGAACAGATAATCTGCTTAGTTTGTAGACAAAAGATATTACTCACCTAGAGCGGTGAAAGGTTTACTTACTTTACATTACTTTATATATTGCGATATTTAGCGATAAATTAAATGTATTACACCAGGTGGCAAATTTATCAAGGGTGTATTGAAGAATAACTTCAATTTTAACAAAACAACTATAAGATTAAATAATTTATTAAACAAAAATAATGAAGTTATTAACTGGGATAGTTTCTAACATTCTATATGTATATATATATATTTTTAACTAGTTGAGTTAAAAGTTATCATAACGAGTAAAATTTGAACTATAATCAAATATTGCCCAAATTTGAATATTATATCCCGTAAACGAATACCGGAATACGAATGTTTCTGATGCAGCAACAACTCTTTTTTTTTTTTACAAATAATTATTTTGGACGGATAAGCATATAATAATTATTGTTGTTGACTTTGATTGGTATTATTATTATTATTTCTGCGAATTCATATCTACCGTCATCGATACGATCTACTATATCGTCGGATCATCAACCAATATTGATTGCAGGTGTACAACCATAGTATGAGGAAATCATTTGAAAAATCTTAGAATCATCGGCATATAGAAGAAGGCGACAAAGGGGAACAGTTGAGCACACGGTGTTAAAAAAAAAATTAAATAATAAGGGTCCTAGGTGGCTTCCTTACGGAACTCCGGAAGACACTCGAAACAGATCGGATGATTTGCCAAAGAGACTTACAAATTGGTATTTCTTACTAAGATAGGAATTAATTCATGATAAGAGTGGTTCGCCAACACCTAACCTGTCAAGAACATAATGAAGAGCTCTATGATCAATAGAGTCGAACACTTCAGAAAAATCGTTATATATCACATCAACTTGATTACTTAGTTCAAACGCTTTATGTAAAAAAGAGATCAAATCAACATGACTTGTCACAGTCGAACAATCGGGAACAAACCCATGCTGGTCAATCGATTTGATGGATGAAAAATTACACGGAGTTTGTTTGAGTACAATAGACTCAAACAACTTACTAAGGAAAGGTAGGCCAAAAATTGGTCTATAGTTGTTAACATCAGTCGGATTACCGGACTTTAAGATTAGTTTAACACGACTAAATTTCTAAGTAGATGGGAAGACACCCTCAACAAGAGACGTATTAAAAATTAGTGTTACTGGTAGACTGAGAATTGCACGGCAATAGTACAGTAGGACAGAAATGTCATCCGGGCGAGAACCACGGGTGTTTAATAAGGATTTTAAAATGCTTCATTGACCTCTCAGTAGATAATCTTCTATCGATAAAATTTATGGAAGGAAAAAAATTCTTGGTTTGTACACTTATCTGATGAGGTATTTACCGTCTTTATATACAGAGGAGAAGCGTGAAGCAAATAAAGAAGCAACTTGATCATCAGTGGCCTTGGTTTCTCCAAGATGAATCTCTTCTGGTATTGAGCTGACACCACGTTTACTACGAACAAATTCCCAGAAAGATTTAGGTTTAGTACAAAGACGTTCTTGCATAATATGCCAATAGTTTCTGTAGAACCGCTTAGATTCATATTCACACCGAGCAAGAAGTCTGGAGAAAATTAAGCAACAGTTATAACCACCTAGTAATTTATATAATTTTTGGAATTGGTTTTTCTTTGAAAGAAGGTCTATGAGACTATTGGAGACCCATTTTGTGAAGGTAGAATTGCGAAAGGTACGTAAAGGAACCCACTCACGAATACAATCAAGCAGAGTTTTCTGTAAGAAATCAGCTAACAGATCAGTCAATCTCAGTAATTAGCATTTTTAAAGTTATAATATGTATGTTGGATGTTAAACATAGGGAGGTCAGAGGGAAAGGAACATAATATAGAATGGGCTGGATGGTACAAGTCACATGGAACTAAGGGAACAGCGGCCTGAAGGACTTGGGTGGATACATTGTTGGTGAAGATTAAGTCAAAAAGGGACCCAGTAATATTGAAAATTTAGTTCTTTTGAATGAAGTGAAGCAGATTCTGACCTTATCATTAATACTACCTGTATAAATAAGACCTGATTCACAATCGGTCAAATGTACATTGAGCAAGTTAAAGTGGTCACAAACCAAAGCAAAGTTAAAAACATTAGATCCCCATGCTTGGTCAACAGACTCAAGGTAACTCTCATAAAACGAAATATTGTCAAGTTTAAATACATTAAAATTTAATATTGATACCAAAACCTATAGGTATCTAAAGTATTCTATACTTTCATATTTTAACGCTACAATTTTATCATTAGTAGATTTTTATTTTCTAAAACAATTTTAATGTTTCTAAAGTGATAAACATTTAAAAATATTTACTATTTGAAGTGTAAATTTTCGTAGTTTTTCGCTAATTTTAGGAAAACTATTATGAATTTCGAAAATTGACAATATCTATAATCTACCAAGTTTAGGAAATTTTTGATCTATAAAATGTAAAAATATTAGATGAAACTTTAGGATATGATTTTCTACCAGAAAAGTTTATACTTAAACAATCTTAGTTTTATTCAGTACCTAAAATTTGATAGGTATTATTCATAATTAATAGGTACAAGTTCATAGCAGTAATATATTATGTTGAAGGGAATGAAGATAGTTTGGGTCACTACATCGCATAATACGGAAGAATAATTAATGATTTTTGAGAAGAGTATGAATATGTGACTTCCAAGATAAAACGTTATAACTTATAGTGAATCAAAAATAGTTAAACCACACACTATTTTATACACAAAAATATGATTTATACTTCATTATACACTATACAATATATTATATACTTTTGTCTATAACTATAAATTTACATTTCTCTCTATATATATTTATTTTGATTTTAAGTTATCTCGATCAATTATAATTTATAGTATAGGCCACATTATATTAATGAAAAATGGTAAAAAACATAATATTCGATTCTGGATGAAGTTAAAAATTTGCGGATAATCCATTGATATACTTTAGGTTCGTTCGTTTACCATGGTTATGCGGTTATCAATTTAAAAAAAGTGATAAGCCAATCGATATTATTATATTATATAATTATAATTTTTCAATTTTGATAATAGTAATTAAGTAAAATTACGAACCTTGTTTTTTACCGGTTTTATGTATTGGCGTTATGATCGACTTCAAATGTTAGGAAACTTGCCCAAACTTCATGATTTATTAAAGATAAAGTTTAAGGGTTTTACAAATACGAAAACATAAGACTTTATAAATAAAGGTTTGCCTTCAGGTCCGATCCCCAAATTTACATCTAAAGAGTTTAAATAATCAAAAATTTCAAGCTCACTAACAATCCATGTGTCTAAATTAAGATTAATGTTTGATGTAAGCATATAGTAGTTTGAGGTGTAATTTGATCATCCGATAATACCGTGTCAGAAACATATACACTAGAAAAGTAATTTCCAAATAGGTTTGCGGATTCTAAGGTATTTGTAAACGTCTGGTTAATGTAACTACGAGTTACATTAACGTACGATAGTCTAGTATAGTACTGACTGTTTTTTTAAAGAATTTAAATATTTCCAATAAAATATTAAATTAGTAGTAATACTGTTTTCAAAGCTAAATGTATATTCTAGAGAGTGATAGACTGCAATTAAGTGTTTATATTTCTTACGAAAGTTAGAAAATTCTAGATAATCATCATGAAAACAACTAAGTTTAAATTTTTTATGAGCATATTTTTTTATAATTATTAAGGTTCTTAGCTCTTATTAGCCTAAACAGATGAATTATTATTATATATTTTTAGTTTTAGTACAAATAAGGTAAAATAATGATTTCATAAAATTTAGAAACAATATCTTTCAAAAATAAATTATTTTTCAGATTAAGAACAAAATCAATAGTAGATAGAAAATTAGAAATTTCAATAAAATCACATTTCTTGAAATTGAAAATAAGTGGATAATCAGTGTGAATTTGTATAAGGGAATTCAAAAATTGTATATAAGTCTAAAGATTGGTGATAACTATCGATTGTTGACACTAAAGAATCAGTTGAATAATTAATAGACGATAATTCACTTTCAGCATCAATATTTGTTATCAATTTTGTTATTCGTGTTCGTTGTTGGTAATACTGGTAAAGTGTTTGAGAATTTGAGATAATCATATTTTTTTTCACCCTAACCTCAAAAAATTACACTTGGGGATAATTAAGCACTAAAACTGCTTCTCTAGAGGTCTCATTTGATAGCCCAAATTTCCGACCTTATCTTTTATGACCGTGGATATGCCTGTGTATTTGAAGTTAAGTTAGATTAAGGTTAGATTTCATTATTCGATTTTTAACGCTACGTCATTCTAAGCCTTAGGTATATAATATATAGTTTTATGTATTATAAATATATAAGCTAAACAATTTTCTTTAGTTATAAGTTAATACTACGCAGTGGTGGTGTGAACTTATTATTTCAATGACGCAATACAATTTTCCAATACTTACCTTCCTTTTTATACAAACTCAAAATATAAAAAGTAAAGTTTTAATATAATTAATATAAATAAGTATCTTGTATTTACTCAACCATAAACATCAATATTCAATATAAACTCATTCCTTTTTTCATGACGCATTTGCGTCAATTTAACCCTGTTTGCGCCGCTACTGATACTACGCATGCATGAATGTGTTATATTGATGTACCGCGAACGCAGATACCGACACGGCAACACGATGTACCCCAAATTCGCGACTATTATACCTGGAAGAGTGTACGCATGAACGATCGGCCATCTTGGCGTAAAAAATCTGACGGAGTTAGTGCCTTGCTGGATATATCTATTTCGTTTTGTTATTTTATCAATATCCAGTTATTATTTAATAATAAAGTAAGTACAAAATGTTGTATTATAATATTCTAATATGTGGTCTACGAGAACGTGATATATCTATATCTTCCAAACTTCCACGAAATTCATGTTTTATTTAATTTGTACATTTGCATGAGCGGAGAACGATACATAGTACTTCAATATGCAACTTTCCTAATAAAATTTTGATGTGATGACGTTTACTAGGTCATTACACATTGATATTGATATATCTATAAAAATACCTAAGAATATCTGATACTGGTGTAAGGAAATTAGCGTCCTAGTGAAAGCCTAAACTCCGCTATTAAGCAAATGCTATCTTCGGTTATCTTCATTTACAATTAGAATTTTGAAAAATGAAAATGGTGTTTATACCATAATTTTTAACTTTATTAGTTTGACTATTTACTAGACAATTTATTTAATTGATTTTTTTTTTAAAAAAATTAAATAGCTTAACTATACCATTAATGCATTTTTTTTTTATAGTTAATATGCCTCTATATTCATTAATTGAACATAAATTACGACAGTACATGTTTTTGGGACATGAAAAATCTATGTATGTTCCACCTCCAATTAGAAATACATTTTGGGATGAACAACAAAAACATTACGAAAATTTTACTGGTGTGAGAATAATTGGGAACATTGTAAATAGAAATAAAACTCAAGAGATCAATTCTATTGTTCCAATAATTTTAAAGGTTAATTCAGTTATATTAAAGTTGAAGTATTTTATGTGTTATATATTATATATAATTATTCATTTATAGATTAAACAAGAAGGCAATCTTCATGATGACCGACTCTTGATTTTTGCATTGGCCATATGTGCTAAATTTAATAAGACACAGTGTGTAAAAATGGTTGCTGATGCTTATGCTGCAGTTTCATTAATTTGTACTGATGGATTGAAATTGCTCATGTTTGTTAAATTTTGTCAAGATGTTAACACTATTCTTTATGAAAAAGGTACCTTTTTAAAATACTAATACTATGTAATAATATATAGGCAATTTGGAATAATATATAATATAATATACAGTACTTGCCATTCAGTTATAACTTATAACCAAGAGATTTTTTTTATTTTTGCTATGTACAATAATATTGTTACAATAGTACTACATACTTATTGGTTTCCAGCATTAATTTAGGGGTTTCCAAAAGCTGCATATATACGCTTACAGTAATGTTTTAATTTTTTATTTTATTTAAATATTTTAAATGTCTATACAATGAAACTTTGGTTTAATACTCTGTAGTATTTAATTTCAGTTCAATCTAATTACTATTAATTATTTATTTTTGAATCACCTGTGTTTAGTATCATTTTTAATCTAAAGCACTAGGTTTTTCTCGAATATTAATAAGAATTTCAAAAAATGACCTCTTTAAAGTACTACCCAGAGAACACTTCCTTTCAGAAAACGTGCTATACTTGATAATCAGAGTATGCTTTCTGGTAGAAAAAGTGTTCACATAAAAAAAAAAACCAAAAGAACAAATAAACATCATTGTAAAATGAATACATTCCTCGCTCCACTCAGAATCTAAAATTGATTGATTGTATATTTATTTAATAAAATATATATGTATTTTTTTGTATTTGTATATTATTTAATATTTGTATAAGTTCCTAAAATTGTTTGTCCAGAGGTCATTCATCACGGGAGGGGGAAATACACAGTGGGATATGTTAGATTCACATAAATTATGATTATTATTTTTTTTAATGAATATAGTATTATACTTGATAAAATCCTTAAAAATTATATGTTCTCATCTTTATTAGATATTTGTTTAGACTTGTTTTGAATATATTTTATATAATTTTGCTTAGGTTATATACCTTATAAAACTTCTGGATTTGGGAAGTTATTTTGTAGAACTATCAAAAAATGGTATCAACAAAGGGATCCATTTGAAACCACAAAACTGTTATTAAAGGATCGATGTTTTGAAGGTTTGACTCATAGAGAACTAATGTACCTAATTCATATTAATTCAAAAGATCCAGGTATGTAATTTTAAAAAAAAGTATTAATTTGTCACTAAATTATTAACAATGTAAATCATAGGTCATAAAATATTTATAACCTATACAATCTATGGTATTCAAGAGCTCAAAGAACTATATGGACCTAATGGAATTGAGTTAAATGACATTCACGATAATGATAAAATTGAAGAGCTCAAATCAATATACGAATATATCGAGAGAATTCATAATATACCTAAAATGGATGAAATTTCATTGCAAAATGAAATTGAATTGCATAAATGGGGTCAACAGCACAAAATCATACCTAATGAAATGCTTAAATATCCTGGGGTTAGTATGTATTATTTAAGAAAAAAAATAAATGCTTTTATATTTAAATGTACTTCAGATTTTAACTTCACTCATCAAGCATATGCCGTTAATAACACTATTGAATAAGACGTATTCTTTTGCTAAATTAAGATTATTTCACAATTCAACACCTCATACAGGACTTACAGAATACATTTCACGCTTTACCAATACACAAGAACTGAAAGAATCGAGAATTCATCCTATTGAGTCATTTGTAGAATATGTAAAATATTCAAGGATGAGCAAGTAAGTAATAAAAGTACAATTTAGTTATATAAACATAAAGTACCATAATATTTAATGTATAATGTATTATTTCAGACATATTTTAACACTACAACACCGTGTAGTACAAAAAGATTTAAACTGTAACATTCATGATAGTTCTGATAAATTAAAAGTGTTAATAAAAGCAAACAAAACAAACAATATATGTGAAACTACAAATGAAATTGAGATGACAGAAGAAGTTAAACAGGAAAAACAATATGAAAATAATGATATTCAAAATCAATCAATTGGTCTACTCATGTTGAAGCCACTTCCAAGACTTGTAGACGAGTTGTCAACATTTTTGTCTGAAGATCTAATAAGAAAAACTTTACAAGTATTTATTTATAAAATTTTATTCCATTAATTGAAATAAGACCTATTTATTATATTAGTATTATCATACTAATGAATGTATATATATATTTGTAAGAAGTGAGAATATTTAATATTAAAACTTGTTATTTAAAAATGTATTTTAAGTTTACACTTGTGTAAATTAAATTCTGAGCTGAACAATGAAATTATTAATCCATAATACTAATCAGCCTAATAATAAAAAATATATTATAACATTGTTTTAAAACTCTTCAGGTAAAAGTGCCAACTATATAGTACCTAATTAAAATCAGTTGGCTCTGAGAAATTTTTGATTTTCATCATTTTAAAAATGTATTGATAATTTAAACTAATTAAAATTCATAAAATTCTAAATCATTCAATTTCATATTTTACTCTATGTGGAATACTATATTAAACCTTAATTGATTTTTTATTCTAACACAAAATTGTACATAAATCATTTTTAAATTAATTAGTTTATGTAATGAAGATATTCAAAATAAAAATAAAAGATTAACAAAATTAAATTTATTTGATTCTAAATTAATAGTTCTTATATTAGATAAAAAATACACCATCAACATAAGTAATTTTTTTTCAGAACCTGGTTCCTTCAAATCGTCGTATATTAATATTGTATGACAGTCAAGTGGGTACGAAATCAAAAAAATGTTTCTATACCAATTTACTCAGCGTGCATGAAGCTATTACAATGATTATACTCTCTTTGATTTACCCAGAGACATTAGAAAACAAACCAAAAATACTTACCATAAAAAACAAATTTCTTACTGAAAAGAAAATTGATTATAACCAATCTTTAACTTTTTCCTATTTGGAATCTGTTTTATACAAGGTAAACATTTTTATTTTTTTTAAATATATTCATAAAATATTGTGTATACACAATACTATATATAGTACTGTATACTTTATAATATTGACTAATTTACATATTTTTTTAGCAAACTTCTTATTATTTAGATGATGAGGATACATTGAATTTTAAATCCTTTATAAACTGGGCTAGACGATATTCACAAAATTATGATGTATTTGTGTTATTGGGAACTAATAAAATGAATTTAAGAAATATCAAAAAAGCAATTAAAAATTATCAACAATTTTGTCAGAATTCAGTGAAGTATGATTTATATTATTAAATATAAAATATTTTTAAATAATATTTAATTTAGTAAAATTAATTAGTTAAGCAATAAAACTAAAATATTAAGTTCAATGTTAACTATTATAAATTAAATGATGGTAATAAATTGTTTCAACCCCCTTTTAAATTTTCCAGGATCATTGTGTGTTGTTTAAATGGAAAGCATGTTGAACAAAACAATTTGATAGGAAATAATCAGTTATTTATTGCTGGTTTTGATAAATATATTGGAAAAGTAATTGATGGATTCATAAAAGAAGATTTTTAAGTATGTTAGTTTACTGTTATAATATTTAATTTATGATGTAAGCACTGTCAAATAATATAAGTTCAGACTGAGATGTAATTTCTGACACATATTGTTTTACTCAATTATTTCATTGCTTATCATTTACCATTTGTGTCCTATACTTCGGAGCAAGTGTTCTGGTAGAAAATTTGTTCACAGATAGAAAAAAAAATAAAAAACACACATCATAGTAAAACCAATAGATCCCTACCTATTATTTATCTATTATTTAACTATTATTTTAAAATTCTTTTTTTAATTTTTTTTTAATAATTGGTGCAAAGGTAACTGTGGCATTTAGTTTCTTTGCACCAAAATTCAAAATAACTTTAATTTTCATATTTATTGAATATTAAATGTTTGTTAAAAGTATTCTTATGATATAAGAAATACACTGTTCAAACAAAAACCAGTGACTAAAACTGATTTTACACATTCCCTTGTTCTGAGTACTACATAGCCAGTGGTGTGGAGGGGGGACGAAGAAGGCATTCCCCCCCCCCCGTGGATCGTATAATTATAAGTGTGCATTGTTATATTTTTTTTTTTGTGTTTTTACAATTATTTTGAATTTTTTTTCTTGAAGTCGTTATCAATGTGATAATTAATAACATGATCAAGCCCAAGATTTTAAAATGTTTTTATTATCTATGGTCAAACCAGGTCAAAATCACAATTTCAGATAGATTTAAGTCTATCTTAAATCGTGGTCAAAATACATGGTGTTATCCTTTTGTTTTGGAAATTCGACATTGTTCCACCATAGATAATAATAACATGTGACAATACATAATCTAGTATAATAATTGTTATAAATTATAATTACTAATCCGTGGTCTGTGATTCGACTGTTTTCTGTTATTTACTCTCATTGATTTCTGGCTAAGAAATAATTTTATGTGCATCTAATGTGTAAAATAATTATAGTTAACAGTCAACATTAAATGATTTTTCCGTATTATAGTACAATTTATTATATAATTATTTTATAACATTCATTATATTATATTATATTAAACAACAATTTATTTTTTATGTACTTACTAAAATGTTCTATTTAATATTTTACAATTATAAAATTCCTATTAGATTAGGTGAGGTTAGCTGTGAAGTAAATTTTGAAGAAATTTTCTGTTTTAAGAATGGGTAAAAATATATTTCGCCCCCACCCCCTTCCCCCTTATGAGAGGTCTAGGTACGTCACTATACATAGCCACAGATACTCAAATTTGTTTTGTTGAACATAAATTACTTATAGTAAATAGAAAGGTTATTTATTTATTTGTGAATTATTTTAATCAACCTTCTTTTTGTTTTCATTTAGAGGTCATTGGAGTGTTTTATAAATCCACAACGGAAATTTATATCAAACCTGCAAAACAAAGCTGATTTAAAAATGTACTCTACTACCTATTTACTACTACACAGATCCAAAAAACCTCAATAAATTTAATAATTCAACTACTATATGTATTTACTAATCATTTATATTTTAAATAAATTTCATTATTCAACATTTATTTTATTTATTTCATTCTTTCATAAATTTAATTTTATGGATACCCATTAGTTAAACAAATTATTTGGTGTTTTCTTAAATGCATTGAATGTATTCAGGTGTGTAAAATCATTTACACGTTAAACTGTGTAACACTAAGTATTTTTTTTTTTTTATATATATAAATGTTCAATGCGTTATTGTTTCAATAATAATAATTATTATTGTTATTGAAATGCTACAAGGAAGTTCCTAAAAGTGTATTAAATATTATTTGATAAATATTTTACTTAATAAAACTGTATTAATAAAGTGATAATTTAACAAAAAAAAAAAATACTTTACACGATGGGTGAGAAGTTGGCTAACGAAAAATGATTCGGAGCGAAATATCTTTCATCTATATACGTACATTTTCTTACGTTTTTCTAAATTATTAAAAATCAAAATTTAATACTACACTTTAAAATTGAATTAAAATTTCTGGTTGAAAAGTTGTTCACAAAAAAAAAAAGTTGTCCTTATTTCTGAAAAAAGAGTTTAGTTAATAATATTACTTTGTAAACAATATGTATGTCATATTATGGTAAAATAATTACATATGCATTATTTATGTTCTTCAATAATATTTGTTTAGTATTGTAACTACTTTCCCTTTTTTCTTACGTTTTTTACATTTATTGGGAAAACACCTGAGAAAATCAAAAAATAAACTTCCTAAAGTAGCCAGTCAGATTCCTTTAAGAAAAAGTGCTATCACTGTAAATCGGAGCAAAATTGTATATTGTATAATAGTATAATGCCAAATATAGAAATAATTAATCGTTTGTGGCTTGTTCGATCAGTAAGAATATAATTTTTTGTTTTTATTGTAAATTATTTCAAACAATTTTGCTGAATAATTCCTAGTTATAGTAGTGGTTTTTCTAATGAAAGCATAAGTAATTGGAAATATTTTTCAAAAGTTATCTGAACATGAAACGGACTTTTGCTCACAATTGGATAGTTAAAAAACGGATAGTACTTAATATCAGAATTGAAGCTTTAACTAGGTACTATAGATAAAGATTAAGAATACTTAAGTAAAATTGAAAAAAAAAAAGAAACATTGGAGGGTTGTACTTGTAAGTATTTTAGCTGGCATTCATAATGGTAAATTTCTCAGATAGATCGAAAAGGTTAGTTTACCATGTAATAATGGATCATGTAAAACGAATTAAATTAAGGGTCGAGTCACGCTAGAGCGGCTTTTACGCGTGATTTACATGTACTACACGTCTACACTAGCGCGGTTTGCGCGTGTTCACTACGCGCTCAGATTAACTTGGTTGGCTAGTATATGGTAATTCGGTCTTGTACTATCTTGTGCGTCAGTTGAATATTAATTGATTGATTAATATTTAATTGTGTATTTTTTATTAACTTTTTTGTGAAAGTATTAATATAATAATTTACGAATTTGTAATAATTCGTGGAAAATTGTCCAATCCAAACACGGATTTGTCTGTCGAATAGATAAGTATAGTAAAAAGTAAGCAGTAACTGTTAACAACTAATATGTATTATAATGACTGCTCGTGGGTTTTTAATGAAACAATGCACATCCAAAAAAAGTATAACTAATATTAAACATACATTATAAATTGTATTAAATAACTGTTAAATAAAATAAAAAAATATTAATTATCATTAGAAATTTATTAGATTTTAGCCATTTCAGGTACATGTTTATATGTTAAATCAATTCTTCTGTCTTTTTTTTTCTGCGAACCTGTTTATTACTTTTTCGTTGAATTTTTTAATTTTGATCATCTGTTTTTTAATCGATAGCATTGCTAGGGCTTTAAGTTGATATTCCGTCAGTGAATTTCTCAAAAAAGTCTAAACACGTTTCAATGTAGAAAGCGATCTTTCGGCTTTAGCTGTAGTCATTGGAATAGTTGAAATTATTTTTAAAATTTTGTAGCTTTCAGAAAATATCATTGTTAAATTATTTTCAATTATAAATTTCAATAAATAAACTGATGAAGAAATATCACGGAAATCGGTTCTTTTGTAAAACAGTTGTATTTCGGTTTTAAGTTTAATACCGTCCAAAAAATAATATGCTTCAACAGTTTTATTAAAACGGTCACTTGGGAAGTTATTTTCGTACGTAGGAAATTTAATAGACAAAAATAGGTGCGAAACATTCAAGTGATTTTTATTATTAAAACATTCTTTAACGTTGACAATAAAAAAGTTAAAAAGTTCTTCTGCAGCGATTTTTCTTGTTTCAGTAGTGTCATCTTGTCTACGTTTTTTTGTTGGATTATCTTGAGAGGTTTCTTTTTTTTTTCAAAAATGTGGTCAATATTCTGTCTTTTTTTTAATATATTTTCTTCGAACCGCAAAATTGCCTTTGAATGTTCTACGGGATCCACAGTTCGTTTTTGTAGTTGATTATACAGAATATCAACATGAGGCATTAAAGAATGAAACACTCTTAACCAAAATATAAATTTATCATCATTTAACATTGCTATGGTTTGATTAAATGTTGATTCAATTTCTTTCATAAATTCAATTAAGGATTCAAGATTCTCATACACGGTATTTACCACTCGAATTTTAAAATTCCATTTAGTATTAAATGGTCGAGGAACTCTGTGTTTTAACAATTTTATCTAAAACCGTAACCCGCTGAGGATTATTGGAAAAAAATTTTGTTACATAAATTAAATTTAAAAAAAATCCTTATCTCACGATTTTGTGAAGTTGTCTGAATTAAAATTAAATTAAGCTGATGAGCGATGCAACGTATGAAATGTGCATTTTTATAACTATTATTTATTATTTTTTGTACACCATTGAGACACCCACTCATCACATTTGTGCCGTCGTAACTCTGACAAATCAACATTTCTGGCGTTTCTAGAACTTTTTCCAAGTTGAATATCTTGTATTCAGACAATGACTTCGAATCGTGTCCAGTAGGATTGAAAAATCCCCAAAACCTTTCTACTGGTGTTCCGTCTGATAGTAAACATCTAAATATTATTGACAAATGAAACTGAGCAAATACGTTAGCTGTTTCGTCAGCTATTACAGAGATATATTCTGCTTGCTTTATTTAATTTTTAATTCTTTGTTGACATAATTCTAAACAACATTCTAATAAACCATTTTGGATAGATTTTGATACACCTTTAAATACCGAAGAGTTTTAGAGATGACATTTTAGTACCGTATTTAACTTTGAACTAGAGTTTATAAAGCCTCGAAATACGCCGGGATTTTCTGAATTCAGTTTTTCATCGTGACCTCAAAGTGCAAGTTCANAATACGCACTAGAAAGTTGTTGTCTTATGTCTTGTTTTCCTAATAGTTTTAAATTTAATTGACAATTTATGTGTTTCATTGATCTTTCATGTGTTTTTGTTTTAAAAGTTAAATGAATTAAATCATTTATTCTATTCTTTACTCTAAGAAATATCATTCG